TGCGCGAAGTGTTGGAGGGGATCGGCTTCACTCCCTCAACGGCCGATCACTCCTTGTTCATGCTTGGCGAGGGGGAGCAGAGGAGTTTCATGGTGGTTTATGTGGATGACATCCTCATTTTCTCACCCTCTTCTGACCTTGTGAAGGAGGTGATGCTGAAGCTTCAAGACAAGTTCAAGTGCAAGGCCCTTGGTGACGTGAGCTTCTACCTTGGGCTCCACATCGAACGAGATGTGGAGAAGCGGTGCATGCGGGTGCATCAACGAAAGTACCTGGAGGCATTGGCTGCCAACTTTGGGCAGAGTGAAGGCCATGTGGCTACACCCTTTCCCTCTGGGTTCAAGTGTGTGAAGGGACCAGAGGAGGAGAGCGTTGGTGAAGAGGAGAGGCGCCGATTTCACTCGTTGGTGGGCAGCCTCATGTATGCGGCGGTAAACACCCGACCGGACGTCGCGTTTGCTACCGGGCAGCTGGCTAGGGTTGTGCAATGCCCTAATGAGGAGCAGGTAGCAGCTGGAATGAGGGTGGCCAAGTATCTTGGCCAAACACCGACCGTTGGGCTGCAATACTCGGCGGCGGCACAAAGGCGCCAAAAGGGCGCGGATGGTGTTGAACCCGGGCGTTTGTTCCTCACCGCCTACTCGGATGCTTCATATGCATCAGAACCAGAGGACATGACAAGTGTGGGAGGCTTCATATGCTGTGTTGGTGGAGGCCCAACTGCTTGGGAGAGCAAGAAGCAGGTTGACCAAGCTTTGAGCTCGGTGGAGTCCGAGTACATGGCACTCTTCCGTGCCGTACGGGAGATTGTGTGGCAGCGGCGTTTGTTGGCTGAATTGGGGGAGGAGCAGCAAGGACCTACCCCACTGTACTGTGACAGCCAGGGTGCCATTGCTCTTGCTAAGAACCCTGTGTTGCATGGACTCACGAAGCACATGAGGGTGAAGTGGCATTGGACGAGGAGCATGGTAACCGCGGGTGAAGTTGAGTTGCGCTACGTGAAGACCACGGGGCAGCCGGCTAACATGATGACCAAGAGGCCGGTGGAGCAGCAGCATTGGAAGTGTTGCAAGCTGGCTGGGATGGCTCTGAACTGAGAGAGAGCAACATATCCTAAGGCCAACAATCCGAGGGGGAGTTTGTTGGTGCAACCCTACGGTTTGCACTCGGCTTGTTGTCCGTGTGCGTGAATGTGTGTGTGTATGGAATGGTATGAGGGCATGGGATAATATATATTTCATGCTTATAATTGTGTGTGAATGTTGAGTCATGATGTCGAGTGTGTGTGTCGAGTCAATAGCGAGTTATCGCTAGACGCGTGTTACGCGGTCGTTTGTGTCTCGCGCGCGGTTTCTATTTTGTCGTGCGCGGTTTCTATTTTGTCCTGTGTCGAACGTTCGGCGTGTCGCAGGTGTGTGCAGCAGACCCATCAAGAACTCAAGGATGAGTTTGTGATGAAGAGCCCGAGCCTTGGTGTCAAGCCTCAAGTGATTTCGAAGCTTGCCAAAAGGGTACACCTCAAGATATTGAAGATAGTTACATTACTTTGTGTAGTGTAACATTTCACTTGGTGTAGGCCCTAGTGAAGGGTAGTTTCGAGACCCTTCGTGGTTGGGGACAGTGTGGCACTGTTCCACATCACTGTACCTCGGCTCTTGGGGTTTGTAGGAGCTGGGAGTCATTCCCAACTCGTAACTCTTCCTATCTTGTGTTCTAAGACTATAGTGGCTGCCATAGTACCGTTCGTTCAAACCGCCGCTGTGTCGTCAATTCTTTATCAAATCGTGCAATCTAAATTGATAATTGTAGACGACGTGAAGACGCTCCAGATCCAATTTGAATCAAGTCATTTGCAGCTGTGAGCAGAATGCTATCAACGTTTGAAGCCGCTGTGCAGAAATCCGTCTGTGCTCTCTATCTTTCGTTTTAGGCACATTCAAGCCTATTGTGACTATAACAACTACTGAGGGAACTACTAATGCAAGAGGCACACGACGGGGTTACCTCGGGTCACTTCGGGGTAGAAAAAACGCGGCAGCAACTGCAGCGGTATTACTACTGGCCGGAGATGTTGACCGACGTACAGCACCACGTGGGATCGTGTCCTACGTGTCAGGTGATGAAGAGCTCGCGAAAAAGAAAGGCAGGTCTATTGCAGCCGATTCCACCGCCGGAGCGCGCCTGGCAGCAAGTTACCATGGATTTCGTCACAGGGTTACCTTCGAACCCTGGGGGTAACAACGCGGTTATGGTCGTCGTTGACAGACTGACAAAAATGGCTCACTTCGCTGCGTGCAGGAAATCGATCTCAGCGGAAGAAACTGCTCGCCTGTTCATCGCGGCCGTCGTTCGACTGCACGGGATACCAGCCGCGATAGTCAGCGACCGCGACACGAAGTTTACCCGCAACTCCTGGAAGAACCTTTGGGAGCAGTTCGGGACCAGGCTACTGTTCAGCTCGTCGTACCACCCCGAGACCGACGGTCAAACGGAGCGGACGAACCAGACCATGGAGCAGCTGATTCGTGCTACGTGCGACGACCCGACAACATGGGAGCAGCAGCTGCCGCTGATCGAGTTCGCCTACAACAATGCCACATCAGCGACGACGCAACAATCCCCGTTTTGCCTGAACTACGGGCAAAATCCAACAGTGCACGTGACGCCGAGTCCGGACAACCCCACGCCACGCGCACAACAGTTCGCCGAGATCCTGCAAGCTGCCCAAACGCGAGCAGCAGAGGCAATTAAAAAGGCAAATGCCATCGCTAAGAGAAACGCTGACCGCCACCGCCGCCCAGTCACGTACCAGTCAGGGGATTACGTACTGCTCGACACACAGAATTTAAGACTGCCCGTCGTACCGAAACTTCGACCGCGCTACTGTGGACCGTTCCAAATCAACCACATGATCACCCCAGTTACCGCCAATCTACTTTTGCCGACAGACTGGTACACCAGCCCATCGTTCCACGTCAGCCTGCTTCGCCCTTACATTCCAACCACAAGTCAATTGCCTCGTCACCGCCCGCCATCCATGACTCGCCTTGCATCAGAACCGCTCGTTGAGCCCGAGAAGATTTTGAGCCATCGGATTCGACACCCCACAGGAATCAAGAGGATCGAGTTCCTCGTTCGCTGGAAGGACCGCACGCCAACTGAAGATAGCTAGGTGCCCTTGGCCAACATCGAAAAACACCCTGCCCTGCAAGTGTACCCGAGGATCCGGGATTTTTCTTCAGCATTCCTTACCGCGTCCTTCAACATCGCGTACAGCAGCAAGCCGATGTTCGCCCGTTACTGCTGACAGGGCTTCGCCAACTTCGCGCGCACTGTTTTACCAAACCATGCACCGCTGGCCTGGCCGAGTCGGCCTACGCTTCGGGACTAGCCCGAACCTCAATGCCAGCCTAGCACTAGCTGGCTCGCACGCAACGCGTAACCGTTGCATGTTTCGCACAAAAGTATTCGCTCATGCCTTCGCTCATACTTTGTACTCGTTTTGACACCTAGTGCAATCCTCGTTATCTCGTTCCATTGCACCCGTAACAGTAATCCAGCTCGTCCCACAATTTCGGATGACACAAATAGAGGATGACACGAAGCCGGAATGGCCCTTAGATCCTGTTGGCATTTGAAACGACCCTGAGATCATTTCACTCGTAACATTCTGTTTGGTGGCCCACCACCGCCTGCGTCGATATTCGTTTGTGCTCCCTTTGTGTGACACTTGTTTACAGATTGCCTACGTGCCCGCTGATGATTCGCTGATAAGCTTATTACGATGGTGACCTAGCAGCATCTTTCATCTCATCGGTCGGTTGTGGAGGTTTCCAACGGCAGGAATATTCCTTTCCCTTGTCTCTCTCAGCTTGCGTAGAATGCTTGAAACCCCAGCCAGGCCAAGGCGGCACTGGACCTGGCCCTGAAAGTGACGCCACGTGGATTCGAGCACATCAAGGTGACCACCTTCCTTAGCGGAGCAGCTGGCCGAACCAGCCCAGCACAGCACTTTTCAAGATGCGCCGTGACTGGGCGCACTGGCATTGGTTAGGGATCCATCGCACCACCCTCACAATCAGGGTTACAGCACTGTACAGTACAAAATGCTCGATGCAAGGTTGGATTGGAAGACCATTTGCTAGTGCATGATGATGGCATGATTCTGCTGATGTACCGCACAGCGCCAACTGCAACGAAAGGGAATCTTCGGAAAATATTCTCCGTCCATGTCCATTGCTTCAAGTTTACTCTCCACTTGACCAACCCTAAGGTTGGCACTAGGTATCTTGGAGGCCAAATTCCAGAGATTTTTTAGCAGGCGCGTCGGGGAGAGGAGTTACATATGTTTTGCGTCTTTCAAAGGTGCTAATTTAGGAGTTATTGGATTTCAGATTGCATGCTCTAACCAGGATGAAGTTCGGTAAGAGGCTTAGAGATCAGGAAGAGGATACGTTGCCTGAGTGGCGAGGCAAGTTTCTTCGCTACAAGGAGCTGAAGAAGCGGTTGAAGACCATTTCCACAGAATCGCCGGAACGCGAACTTGAGGGGGCAGAGCAGCCGCTAGATTTGTGCGATGAATCTTCAGGTATATTAATCGACTCGATAGGGTTAGGCGAAAGGCATCTTACCAGTGACCTGTCCGTGCATCCCTTTGTAGAAGGCCAGTACCTTCCGCATCTTATCGGGAGTTCAGCTTAGGTTATACGTTCTTCCCCGTATGCTCGTGTCGCTAAGACTCCAGTGATGTTTCCGGTCTTGCAGATATCGTCAGGCGTGCGCTCTTCTCCGGGTCGTCGGAGGACCCGTTTTTCATTGCGTAGTGTGTCCGTTGTTCATCGTTCAGCGACTGGTGTCTCTAACTCTCTTTCTTCCGTCTCTGTCCTCAGGTTCCACGAAGGAGTGCTTCCGACGGAACTGTCCAAGGATTTCTTCTTGACGCTGCTGATAGTGGCGGGGTGAACAGCATACGTCGTGCCATTGTTGCGCTACACGGGGAAATGGTGAGTATCTTATCCCATGCCCCCCTCGTTCCTGGTCATAACCTCCTTCGTTCCTGGCCAATTTTCTTCCACCCTGAAATCTCTAACTCATAATCATCTTTAATCCTGTGTCGACATGGTGTCGTTACCCCTCAGGTGTTGCTGGAGAACTACAGCTCGCTCAACTACATGGGGCTTGTTAAGATTGTCAAGAAGCACGACAAACGCACCAGCCACCCTTTGCGTCCGTTCTTGCGCACTGTGCTCCAGCAGGTATATTGCCCGCGTCTGTTCGATTTCTGCGTGCACTCTCTCGTTAGCAGTTATTTGCGTGACCGTTGTGTATCTTCCATACGTTACTGCAACGTTCTCTTATCCATTAATCTGTATTAGATTTGTTTTTTTTTTTCGTCAATCACATATATACCTCCATTGTCTCGTCCCCTTTGTTCCTGCAGCCGTTCTGTACGACAGAGCTGTTGTCGCAGTTGATCAGCGAGTGCGAAGTGCTGCTGCAGCAGCTGTTGCCACCCAGCGAGCAATCATGTACGGCTCTGCCTCCCTTGCACTTGTTCCCACGTTTTGTCTCTCATCGCTATGCTGTAATCCCGCTTCATGTGCCACCTGCATGTCTCCTAGGTGTTGACGTTTTTGCATCTGCAACTGTTGTCTGTTTCATGTGCAGCTTGCAACCATCCGGTAGTCACGCTTCACCAAGATGTCGCATCTGCTGCTGCTGAGGAAGTGCAAGTGTCGCCTACCAGAGAGCCTGCGGCTGCAGAGTTTGATTCTGACGACAACGATACAGTAGCCATGGTTTACCGCAGTGCCTGTAGCGCCCTTCGCGCTCTAATCGAGATCCGCAGCAGCTCAAAGACCCCCCATCCAATCATGTTGGCAGCACAGCAAGGGGCTCTCTCGCCCGCAGTGCACTCTCCCAGCGGCCCTGCGGAGCCTCTCCAACCCCAAGCCAGCCAATCCAACCGCGGTGACGCTCAGGGTGGAGCAGAAGTGATGGGCAGCGGGGGCGAGTCGAGCTGCAGCACTGAAAGGGGGAGTGCTCTGGTAATACTGAAGAAGACTGCTGGTGGGCAACGTGGGTTAGAGAAGGAGCTGGTTGCTGAAAGCAAGCAGCAGGCACAGACAGTAGGCCAATCCTAACATTGGCTTTTAGCGGGAGATTTTGAACGGTTCAGTTGTTCCTGTGTTGGGGTTGCAGCTGTACATATGCATCTTCAAGTTCACTTGCATGAATTTTATGTTTCCAGTTGTGTCACTGCTGTATTCGAATACAGAATGACAACCATGATCTGACGCTTCATGTCTGTTACAAGACCCAGGTTATGGGGATGACAGACAGATATTGAGCAATCTTGTGGCAACTGTGCTGTAGAAGAGATGGATAGTTCTTATCGGTACAAGAAACGCTAGCAGGATACCGGGTTCCATATCACCTTGTTCCAGCATCACTAAGCCAAGGAGCACTCATAGATACAAACTGCTTTCACACACCAGACATGTCCATAACCAGATTGGTGAACTCTTGAGCAACAACAGAGCACAACTCAGCCATAATCCTAAAGCTACAGTACCAACAGCTAGTAAAAATGCACAACACTGCGAACACTAGCAAGGGCGTCACCAGAAGGGGCACCAGCCGATGTAGCTCTGGCAGAGGTTCTCATGTGACGTGGCCTGCACCACCAGCCGCTGCACCTGCTCCTTCACACTCACCCCCGGCTCGCTCTCCCGCCCCTCCGCTATCACCCCGCCGCCACTCCCCATGGCAGCAGCAGCCATGGCTGACGTGGTCCGCTCCAAGCTGCGCCCACTGTCCCCCAGCAGGCTGTTGCCGCTGCCCGTGCGAGGGGACTCCGGCACGGCCCCCGGGAGAGAAGCAGCCGGGGAGGCAGAGGCAGCGAGGGGGTGGAAGTCCCTTCCAGTGAGCTTGTTGCTCATGCGAGTCATCACCGCCACTGCGCGCTCATTCAGCACCTCCTGGGCGTCATCCAGCTGCCCCAGCGCCTGCAGAATCTCCCGCTCCCGCACGCCCCGCTGTGGCGGCGGCGACTGCACCGCCCCGCCTCCTCCCACTGCCCCGCCACCACCCGCACCTCCTCCCCCCCCTGCCCCAGCAGCAGCAGTGGTGCTGGCGGCGGCGGCGGCAGCGGCGCCGGTGCGATTAATAAGGCGCCAGTTGATGAGCGGATCGTACATGAAGGCTTCCATCATGGCGAGCACCGAGTCCTTGTGCTGCCTTAGCACCGCCATCACGGCCTCACACGTGAACCGGAACGTGCCCTCGATGCCGCTCACCTCCATCGCCTTCACCAGCATCCGCGTCAGCCGGAACGGAAACTTCTCAGGGAACTTCTCGCGGTGCATGGAGGACTCGAAGCAATCACCGAAATCAATGTGGATGATCTTCCCGGAGTATCGGTCCAGCATGAGGTTGCTCGGGTGGCGGTCTCCCAGCCCAAGAATATACCCCACCATGCTCATCACGGCGAGACTCCGCGTGTAGTTGCACCGGCGATCCAGCCACACCTCAGCGCTGCGGCTCTTGAGCCACAGCACCCGCGCCAGGTCGTTCCCAGGCGTGCTGTCCAACGCGTGCTCGAACGCCTCTACTTTCCCGATCACAGTCAGGTGGTCGTAGTCCGGAGCAAAGCTGAGGATGAGGCGCCTCTCGAGATTCACTGCGATGTTGTGCGCCTCGCGGTACTCCTGAATCAGCTGATGCATCGTGTCGCAGTGCGGTAACCACCCGATCAGCCCGATGTTGGGCGACAGCGGCACCACCGCGTACCGTTCGATGGAGAGATCCTTGTCAGCGGCTGACCTGGCGCCGCCCAGGAGGGTGTTCACGAGCCCGAACAGCTGCATCACGCGCTCATCCAGCCGTAGATCCTCGTGGCCCTTCAGCAGGAACACGTACTCCCGGCCGTCGGATCCCAGGATCGAGATCTTCCGCGGCCGCTGCTTGGAAGTAATCACCAGCAGCTGCGGTGCAAAGCCTGCGATGGTCACTGTGGGGCGGCCGACGCGGTACGTGCCGGGGACAGCGAGAGCGAGGTCGCGGGCGTTGACCAGCGCAGGCGCCACCTGGAGGAGCTCGAGTGTGGTGAGTGCGGGGAGCTGCTTGTTGATGCGCTTGAACACGTGGTAGTACAGGTCCCACGCCTGTGTCAGCTCCGCTTCTCTCCCCGTCCGCCGGTAGTTCGCGCAGCACTCTGCCGCTTCGGCCAACTCCCGACCGTAGGCCTCCACGAACGCGGCTTCCGTGCTGGTTTCCGGGCCGGCGGTTTCGAGCAGCGCGTGCAGCGGAGCGAGCACAGCCAGCATGCCGTCTACATTCCGCTCGCCGAAGTACAGTCGCGATGCCTCCTCCAAGGCCTCGTGCCACATCTCGTGCCATAGGATAGCCACTCGGATCAGCTCGACTGATACCAGCTGTGCTGCCTCCACCAGAGCAGCGGAGTGCGAGCGGATATTGTCCAGCACTGCTTGTGCGGCGGCGCAGCGCGAGAGAGACATGGACTTGCAGGCCACGAGCAGCGGGAACATGAGCGTCTGCGGGTGGTGCCGCCCCACGCGGATGAGCAATGATTGCACGAGGGAGCGGACGGCGGGGACGTTGTTGTGGATGCGCGCGATGATCTGAGGAATCACGTGCAGCCACGTGTCGATGTTCACGTGCGTGAACCCCTCCTGTAGCGCCGCCTGCACGTCGGCTGTAGCGCCGTACCGGAACCAGAGAGTCAGCAGCCGAAGAATATCCTGCAGGCTGTCCCCTGCGCCCTTCCCCGATCCTAACCCCTTCGCCACCCCCGTTGCCCCGCCCGCCCCCATCCCCTTCCCCTCCCCCGCCCCGCCCGTTCCCCCTCCTCCCACTCCAGCAGCAGCAAACACCGCTCTCCCGCCTGCCTGGCTCGCAGTCCCTCCTGCCGTGGCGAGAGCAATCGACCGGAAGAACCCCGCAATGGCGGCGACCAGGTGGGTCTGAGCCGAGTGCGCGTTGCCCCTCTGAGTGAAGTGCGTCATGGCTGCCGTGTTGAACAGCGCCCAGCGATGCCACGCCTTCCCCCACTCCGGCGCCAGCTCTGTTGCCGCCCGCAGGGACGTGCCGATTTCAGCGACGGAGGAGTCAGAGAGGGTGGGGTGGAGCGACCACTGCCACGTGCCCAGCTTCAGGTAGACACGTGAGAGCAGCGGTGCACCGTGCGCCGTCATGCCACTGCTGCTGCCCTCCCCTGCTGCTGCTCCTGCTGTTCCCGCCCATGCTGCTCCTGCAGACTGTGCTGAGAGGGAGGAGGAGGAGGGGAGGCCTGGGATAGCAGAGGGGGGAGGGGGCGAGTGGGTGGTGTGTGGGAGCGGGGTCATGCCGGGCAGAGGAGACACCGGCCGCGCCCCGCCCAAGCTTGCTGAAGCCATTCCGAGCCCCAGGGCGGCGACGCCAGGTGGCGCGCCGTGAGTGGCTGCGAGCGCAGCAGCGAGGTCCTGCAGGCAGCGGAAGGCGTTGCGGCGGTTGACGTCTGAGGCGAGCGCCCAGGCGTACTTGAGATAGCCCAGCACCACGTGTGGCATGGCTGGGATGAGCAATGGAGGGGTGGATGAGGGTTGGTATGCGAGGGAGGAGGAGGTGGGGAAGGCGAGGGAGGGAGGGATGATTGCCACGGCTGCTGCCGCGGCGGTTAGCATGTCGTTGGTGGTGCCGCTGGTGGTAATGCCGGTGCTGCTGATGCCCACACCTCCTCCCAGACCCACACTGCCCAACCCGCTTCCTCCCAACACTCCTCCTCCCCCCACTCCCGTGCCTCTCACCCCCACCGAAGGCAGCCGCAGCAGCGGCACCGCCCCCGCCGCCCCCGCGCCGGCCACCACCGCCAGTCCGCCGCCCGGGGTGCCAATACTGGTAACCGCGCCGCCCTCCCCTTCGTGCACGTCCAGCCCGAGCATTCTCGCCCCGGCAGGGTCGTGCTGGAGGAGCCTCAGGAGAGTGGCTCTGGCCTGACTCACGCGCCCGCTCTTGCGGCAGAGAGAGGCGAATTTGAGCCACGTGTGGGCGTCCTGGTGCATGGGCAGCACGAGGGATCGCACGGCTAGGAGCGCCTGCCACACGTCCACGTTGCGCTGTGCACCCTTGATCCGCTCCCGCCACATCTGCCGGATCAGAGCCTTCCTCGCCTCCACCTCCCCCGCGCCCATGTGCCCCTCCTCCCCTCCAAATCCGATCACCCCCCCTCCGTCCATCCCTGAAAAACCCCCTCCTGCGTCCCCCCCAGCTGCTCCTCCCCCCGCGTCTGCCCCCAGCAAGCAGTAGTCTATAACTTCCTCGAGTTCTGACAGCTGCTGCACCCTCACCACGTCCCCATATGCTCTCTCGTAACTCTCCAGCACCAGCGCTGCCAGCTCAGTTGCCAGAAGCTTCCGCGCTCTTTCCACGTACTCCCGCGCCTCCCCGAACGCCCCGTGCCGAACCGCCAGCACCGCGCGGAAAAACGCCCCGTCGCTGCGCCCCGAACCTGACCCCACCCCCGAACCTCCCGCCAGATTATGGTGCTGCTGAATCGGCAGCACCGCGCCGAACCTCCCGCCGCCTCCGCCCATCCCGCCAAACCCACCCATGGACGCCCCTCCAGCATCATCCCCCCCATCAGGCAACACAGAGACATACTCTGCCATGTCGTCCCACTGCCCCATGTTCCACGCTGCTCCCGCTCCCAGCGGTGCCATCTGCACGCGCGCTGCGGGCTCAGCGGGCGGCCAGGCGTCGTGGCAGAGTGCAGAGAGCTCCTCCCACCGCGCAAGGGCGCCCAGGCAGCGCATGCGCCCCAGCGTGGCGTCTAGCAGCGCTGCTGACGCCGCTGATGCCGACACAGGCATGCTTGGGTGCATACCAGGATGCATGCCACTGGGAGCAGCGCCTGCGCCTGTGCCTGACAGAAGCATCCCCGTCTGCCCCATGACGCCTCCCCCTGCCGCTCCGCCTCCCCCCGCCCCGCCCCCCATAGCCGCCACAGCAGCGGCCGCGCGCCGCTCATACGCGGCGAGCGCGTCGTGCCAGCGCTGCAGCTTCTCGTACCACGGCTCCTTCAGCTGCACCGCCAGGTGGCGCTGCGCGTACACCAGCATGCCCACCGCCGCCTCGTGCTGCTGCAGCTGGTTGTTTATGTGAATCAGCGCCTCCACCGTGGCCGCCGGATCCACCTCAAACTCCATCTCCTTGTAATGGAGGGCTTTCGCGAACGCGTGGCACTTCTCGGCTAAAGCGCCGAGGGTGCGGATGTCGACGGGGAGCGGGCACTCGTTCTGCTCCATGAACTCGGCCAGGTTGAGCAGCGTTGCGAGGATCTCCGGGGGGATGTTGGGCGACGCGAAGGCGGCCTCCAGGGAGTGCACGAGCTGGTCGCGGCTGGCGTCGTTCAGCTCCTGCCAGCAGCTCACGAACCCCACAGCAAACAGCTCCCGTGCCACGTGCGGTTGGAGGGGCGCGAGCGTGGCGCACGTGCGGAGCGCGGGCGAGGGGGACTCTTTGAGGAGCTCTACTGAGAAGTGCCGCATCCACTCCGCCCAGTCCTCCCGAGTGCTGCGCTGGGACGATTCCCATGCCTTCCTCAACTGCCCCTCGTTCACCCGTAGGGTCCCGGACGCGGATAAACCGGACATGCCTCCCCCGCCGCCGCCGCTGCTGCTGTTGCCGCCGCCGCCGCTGCTGCTGTTGCCGCCGCCGCCGCCGCCGCCCCTGGTGGTGCTGCCGGGGCCGCCGGCGCTGCCGACGGCGTCGAGAGAAGAGCCCATGCCGTCGAAATCGAAACCCCAGTCCTCGTCAAACCCCACTGTTGCGTTTAGGGGTCCCCCGCCCCCGCCAGCAGCACCGCCGCCGGCGCCACCAGCAGCCGCAGCGCCGGTGACGCCTGCGCCCCTGCCTCCTCCCCCTCCCCCCACGCCCTGCCCACCCGCGCCTCCCCCTCCTCCCCCCTGCGCCCCCCCCCCTCCCCCAGCCGCTCCCCCCTGCCCAGCCAGATTATCCGAGCTCCCCCAGGTGCTTCCCCCGGCGAAGGAGGCGGAGGAGGGAACACGGGGGAGGGAGGAGTGGGCGGCGGGGGGGAGGTTGAGGTTGAGCAGCAGCGAGGGGTCGCGGCGCTGCAGGCACGCTGCTATGGCGTCGAACCGCGCGCTGGAGAGGCGGTGGCGGGAGAGCAGACGGCGGATGGTGGGGATGAATGGCGCAAAGTCGGGACCCTGGGGGGGGGGGAGGTGGGGGACATGGGGGATTGGTTGGGGGCATGGGGGATTGGTTGGGGGCATGGGGGATTGGTTGGGGGCATGGGGGATTGGTTGGGGGCATGGGGGATTGGTTGGGGGCATGGGGGATTGGTTGGGGGCATGGGGGATTGGTTGGGGGCATGGGGGATTGGTTGGGGGCATGGGGGATTGGTTGGGGGCATGGGGGATTGGTTGGGGGCATGGGGGATTGGTTGGGGGCATGGGGGATTGGTTGGGGACATGGGGGATTGGTTGGGGACATGGGGGATTGGTTGGGGACATGGGGGATTGGTTGGGGACGTGGGGGATTGGTTGGGGCATGGGGGATTGGTTGGGGGCATGGGGGATTGGTTGGGGCATGGGGGATTGGTTGGGGACATGGGGGATTGGTTGGGGCCATGTGGAATTGCGTAGGGGACATGGAAACGGGGAGGGAGGTAGCTAGTGGCGTGTGAATGAGAGTGGGGTGAGGGGCAGGGAGTGCGATGAGAGGCAGGGGCAGAGCATCACAACACAGCAAACCAGAGAGAGCACACACTAGAGTGCAAGCTGTGCCCAGCCCAACCCACCAGCGTGCTAAACACATCTCCCCCACCCACCCAACCTACCAGCCGGCCCAGCCCAGAAGGCACACTGCACTCACTCACCTGCGCGAGAGCAGAGCAAACCTGTTGCCCAGCAGCACACTCAACCCGTTACCTGGCAAGCAGCACTGACCTGCGCGAGAGCGAGGTCACAGATGGCGTCAGCGGCGTCCCTCCGCAGCTCCTCGCTGGGCCCGTCCAGCACTCGCGCCAGCGGATGCAGGATGGCCGCCGCATGGTCCGCCACGTGGAGAGCCGGCAGCAGGCGCGTGAGCGTGCGCACCGCCGCGCGCTGTATGGGCAGCGGCACGTCTGAGACGCCGGGCTTGAAGAGGCGCACGACGGCGGGCAGCAGCAGGTGCATGTGCGGCTCCATGTCGCCGCCCAGCATGCTGCCGCCCAGCACCTCAAACGCGTGCAGCACGGGTGGCACGCGCTTGTAGTCCCCGCTGCGCTCCGCATCCGCCACCACCGCCACGCACCGCGGTAATATTTCCGGGAGGCACGTCTTAAAGTCGTCTGGGAGAGCGCGTGCGAGTTGTTCGACTAGGTTGAGCACGGGGGAGGGCGCGGGCGGGCGGGGGAAGACGGAGAGCAGCAGCGGGTGCCAGAAGTCGTGGATCAGGGCGGTGATCTCCGGCAGGTACTTGCGCATGTGCTGCCGAACGATGCCCACCAGCTGCGCCAGCTGCCAGAACAGAAACTCCCTCAGGCTCTCGTCACACGCGCGCATCACGTGGAAGAGCTCAGGGAGCACTCGAGGGAGGAAGGGCACGCAGGCGAGCCCCATGGTTCTGAAGATGAACATGAGAGAGCTGACCACCCTCAGGTGGTAGGCTGCGAGGGCACCGTCTCGCAGGATGCGGAGGAGGGCGGAGATGGCCACTGTCGAGTAGTACTCGTCGGTTAGCCCGCCCGCTGATGGTACGTCTGTCAGTGGATCGTCGCCGCCCATGCCGCCCATGCCGCCCATGCGGTCGAAGCCCTGGAGCACGCGCGGCGGCTGTAGTGGTCCGACCGCCCCCCCTGCCGCCCCGGCTGCGCCCCCTGCTCCGCCTCCTGCTGCCCCGCCCCTCCCACCACCTCCCCCCGCCCCTCCTCCTCCCGCCGCTCCCCCCGCTCCCGCTCCCCCGCCCCCGCCTCCTCCCCCTGCCGCACCTCCGCCACCCCCACCCGCGCCTCCCCCTCCACCATCCCCCCGGCCGTCCACCCCCCCCTGGGCGGCCATGGCTTGCGGCAGCAGCAGCAGCTGGTTGCGCTTGTTGACGTGCGGGTCCAACGCGCCCAGAATGCCCAGCACCTGCAGCACCGACCGCCGCATCGACCACGCCAGCTGCCCGTTGAGCATCGACAGAAGTAACCCCAAAAGTTGGGGGTAGTGGCGGTACGGCGCGACGACACACCCCGTGCTCTCCACAACCTGCCCCAGCGTCACCACCGCCACCTCCCTGCGCTCCCCCGGTCCCGGCCCCGTGGTGTCATGCAAGGAGTCCACTATGAGCGGCATGAGATCGGGCACGTAGGGCGTGAGCGCACTCCCCGCCACCTTCGCCAGCTCACCTACCGTTGCCAGCATCGACGCCACCACCCCACTCGTCCCTCCCCCGCCCACCGTCCCTACCGCAGCCGCATGCGCGGCGGACACGGCCTTGAGGCGCGCCACAAAGACCTTGAGGATGGGGGCGATGTAGGGAGCCACGAGGGGCGTGCACGAGTGGATGAGGCACCGCAGCAGCCGCGCGCCGTCCTCCCGCAGCCGGCTGTCCTCACTGTGCTCCACGTCCCCCAGCAGCCGCACCAGATGCCGCCGCAGCGCCGGCAGCACGTACGCCGGGTTTCGGGCGGCGAGCCGCCCGGCGAGCAGCACGGCCTGTTCCCGGACTTCATAGGTTTCGTCGTTTAGTGCGATGAAGAGCGCGCGGAGGCAGTCGGGTTGCGCCAGGAAGGAGTCCAGTGCGGTGGAGGCCGGTGCAGAGAGGCACGCGAGGACGGCCTTGCGCACGCCAGCGTCCACGTCAGCAACGGAGGAGACCAATAGGCGCTCCAGCATGTCCTCTACTATGCCTCGCCGTTTCTTCCGCATGCCCGGCTGTAGCAGCAGCTGCTGCGCGATTCGCTGCACTTTGAGTGCCGCCGCGCTGCTGCTGCCCCGCCCGCTGCCGCCCCCCACGCCGCCCGAAATGGCGCCTGCCACCCGTGCACCCCCTCCCCCGCCTCCAGCAGCGCCGGGGGCTGCGCCCGCGCCGCTGGGTTCTGCTTGGGGCGCGGGGGAGGGTGCGGGGGAGGGGGAGAGGGGCGCGGAGAGGGCGGAGGCGGTGTGGGCGAGGACGTGCGCGCAGCACACAGCAGCCTCTCTCCTGGTCGCCACGTCATCATCTTCCAGGTACCTTGCCACGTGTACACGCGTCAGCTCCAGCAGGTCGTGCCCTGATAGGTCAAACGAGTAGAGCGTGCACAGCGCCAGCTGCGTCACCCCCGCCATTGATAGTTCCCCCGCCACGCTCCCCCCCGTTCCGCCGCCCGCGCTGCTCCCCGCTCCCCCGCCCCCCCCGCCCGTGAGCGCGCCGCTCGCCAGGCTGCTCAAGCTGGCACTTCCGCCGAGGGTTAGGGAGCCCCCGGATCCGCTTCCGCCTCCGCCTGCGCCCGCGGGCGGGCGCGCGCCCGTCAGCGAGCCGAACGCGCCGCCCGCGCTGGTTCCGATCCGCGCGGAGGGCTTCCGCGCGAGGACCGCGGTGATGGCCTCAATGAGCTGTGATTGGACGAGCGGCTTGAGCGCGGGGAGGTGCGCGGAGATGTGCGCGAGCGTGTGCACGAGGGGGAGGGAGAGCCCCGTGTGCAGGCACACGGGGAGCAGCTCGCGCGCAACCTCGCGCATGTCTTCCCCCACCGCCGCCACCAGCTGCCCCACGCACGTCAGCGCCTCCACCGACGCGCGCCCGCGGCGGGGAGTCAGCGCCTCGCGGAGCAGCGCGGAGATCGCGGGGAGGTACGGGCGCAGCGCGGGGCCGACGGCGCTCGCCATCTCGCCGAGCGCCGCGAAGCCCGCGTCGCGATCGGCGGGGTTCTTCATGACGCCTAGGAGGTGATCCATGCAGATCTTTAAATAGCTGCTCACGAAGCGGTCGCGCAGGAAATGCGCGATGCGCGGCAGCAGCGCGGTGATGGATCGCCGGATGAGGCGCTCGCGATGGTCGCGATACTTGAGAACGATGTTCGCGACTTCCTTGTAACGCGCCATCATGAATTCGCCCGTGTTGCGAAGCATTTCGCCGATCGCGAGCAACGAGCCGTGGATGCTCTCGACGCTCGCGCTGCGCTGCAGCCCTTTCTCCGTCTCCTCGAATAGTCGATAGTAGCCCTGCACGCGCCACCGCGTCTCGCGCTTCTCGATAACGCGCAGGCACGCGCGCAGCGCCTCCACCGCGCGCTCCCGCACCGCGAGCTTCGGGTCGCGCAGTGCCGCCCAGATGACGTCGATGAATGTCGGGACGTGCACGTTGAAGACCGTCGGCGCGTTCGCCGCCATTTCCTTCAGTATAAGCACGGCCGCGTAGCGCCGCGCCTCGACGCGCTCCCCCTCAAGCCACCTCAGCGCCTCCTTCACCTGAAACTCCACCACGTCAGCAGCCATCGCGCCGCCCGCGCGAGCCACGTGTCCCAACGTCGCCGCTGCCGCGGAGATCGTGTCAGCATCCGTCTTTTCCTCGAAGATTCGCCGCAGAAACGACGCGAAACGCGACGCCTTGGCTGCGCTCTCCCCGAGCGGCACGTCGATTAACTCGTCGATAGCGTGAACGGCGCCGAGATTATCGGACGGCGAGGTACTCTCTACAAGCACGTTGATCCTTTCGTAAAGCGTGTCCATGAAACGCGTAAACGCCTCGCCACTAAGATCGCGCGCCTCCTCCTCCACGTGCTGGCGCAGCGTCAGCGCGCCCTCCTCCTTCGCCGCGTACGGCGTGCGCGTACACAGCTCCGCCAGCAGCCGCCGCAGAATGTCCGCCGCCGCTCCCCGCTCGCCGCTTCCTCCCGCGCCCCCGCGGCCAGTGCCCCCCTGTCCCCCACCTCCGCCTGCTCCGCCTCCCCCCGACGTACCGGAATGCGCCATTGCGGCCATACGCCCGATCCGTTAGGAGCGATGGTGACGCAATAAGTCTCTAAATCGTTGACTGTACACAATACCTGTCACCTAGGATCCGCCACATCCCCATGCGGTGTGTGAGTTTTTTCCGTTGAACGAGGGAAAATTGGAGCAGGCAGGGAAACGGCCATACGCGCTGTGATTCGGTTCAATTGCAACAAAACATGATCGTACAGAAATAATCTGATAGTAAGAGTTACCACTCAAGCAAATAAGCACATTCTGAAGCCAAAACTCTCCTCCAACCAGACCAGAGACGTCAACGCCACAACGGACCTCTCGCTACCACACTCATTATAAGCAAGCAGCTAAATAGTGCCGCAGCAGCTAAGGTAGCACGCTCTGCAATCGTCCGCTTCCATCACCGCAAATACTTCGTGCCGTCGTGTCCCCTCAATCCCCCAGTGACACCGTGTCACCCACTCCGCGAATGCCGCTTGCCGGCCAAGGCGGCAAATGGCGCAATTCCCTTGCGGGACCGCGATTCCCGCTCATTCATCACCGCGCCTCGAATTATCAGCCCATTAGACGCGCGTTGCCTTGCTGATACCCACCGGCGGTGCGCCTCCTCGTAGACAATGCAGCCAGGAAAGCAGCAGGCTTCTGCGGCCCGCAGACGTGCCACGTGGCAGGTGGGACGATTCGGCTGCAGAGGCGGCCGGTGGGTGCGGTGGGCGACGCTTCTGCTAATCCCCGTAGCGTACCTCTTAACTCTCCGCATCTACCTCCGCCTGCACCCGGGCGACGCGACCAGCCACGTCAGCGGCGCGGGCCACCACATGTCGCTGCTGCACCTGCGCCTCAATCCCCGCGGAATGCGCGCGCTCATCCGCGGACAGGCGGCGGACGTGGGCAGGGGGAACGGGACGGCGGAGGGAGCGGGCGGTAGTGGGGGAAAGGCGGCGCTGGATGCGCTGATGGCGGAAGGCGGCGCGGCGGTGAAGGGGAAGGCGGGGGGCGCAATGGGCGCACAGAGCGCAATGGCGCAGCTGATGGCGGGGGAGGGGGGAGGGAATGGGACTGGCGCAGGGGGAGTGGGCGGAGGGAGCGGGGGGGAGGAGCTGCGGATGTGGCGGAGAGAGTGGCTGAAGGAGGGGCGCGCGCGGCGCAGGAGGGGGGATGCCGCGCGGAGGAGGGGCGAGGGGGGACAGCAATGGCGGGGATGGGGGGGATATGGCCCGGAAAATAAGGTGAGGGGGGGAGGGGAGGGAAGAGAGATGAGCAAGGAAGGGAAGAAGGTAAGAGGGCGAGTGGAGGTAAGTGGGCGCGGAGGAGACGAGTGGGCAGCAGAAGCGCAGCATTGCTTGGCTGCCAATGAATGCTGCGGACCTCAGACAGGACAGGGGGTCATCCGCCCTTCCCCCACTCCACTCCACTCCCTCCCTCTTCCAACCCCCCCCCACCCCCAACCCCACCCCTGGCACCCCTCCACCCTCCCTCCCCCTCATGGCTTCCCGCACTAGCTCCCCCCTCTCGCCGTGCCTTCCCGTCCCCACTCACCCCCACGCGTGGCCATCTGTCCGGTGGGCGAAGCGCGGGATCATGCCCCCCCCTCCTTTTCTTCCCCCCTCCCCACTCTTCCCGTCCCTAGCCCCCTGCGCGAGTGGCCATCTGTCTGGTGGGCGGGGCACGCGAGTTCCATCTCACGGCCCCCACGCTGCAGCGCCACCTGCTGCCCGCCTACCCCTCCGCGCACGTCTTCCTGCTCTTGTCTGCCCCAGGCACCCACCCCCCCACCTTTGCCTGATGGGCAGCGCATGAGATCCCCCCCCACCTCATTCCCCCCACCCTTCTTCCCCCGCGCCCTCCCCCCTCCCTCTCCAGCCCCCCTCACGAGTGGCCATCTGCCTAGTCGGGGGAGCGCGCGAGTTCCATCTCACGGCCTCCACGCTGCAGCGCCACCTGCTGCCGGCCTACCCCTCCGCGCACGTCTTCCTGCTGGCCCCTCTCGACCACTCCGCCCACCGCCTCTCCCTCCTCGCCTGGCCCCACCTGGGGGCAGCGCGCTTGGGGGAACTGGGGGGGAGCGCGGGGGGAAGGGTGGGGGCGGGGGAAGGGGTAGGGGGAGGGGGTGGGCGGGGGGATGGAGATTTTCCCGGGTATTCCCTGGTGCAGGTGAGTGTGCTGCCGGATGTGCCGGTGAATGAGACAAAAATCACCGACCGGCTGCTGGAGGTGGTGGAGGGCAGCGAGGCGCAGACGCGGCAGGGGCTGATGCAGCAGTTCAAAGCCGTGGAGCTCTGCGTTACCGCCATCACGCGTTACGAGCGCGCGCACGCGATCCGATACGATTGGATTCTGCGAACCCGCGTGGACGGGTACTGGATGGGGCCGCCGCCGCCCCTGGCGGTGCTGGATCCGATTGCGTACACGATTCCGGGCGGCAGCGACTGGGGCGGGCTGAACGACCGGCTGGGGATGGGCGGCAGGAAGGCGAGCTGGAAGGCGCTGCGACGGCTGAGTGTGCTAAGGCCGCTGGTGGAGCGCGGGGGGTACTCGGAACTGAATGCGGAACGGGTGTATCTGGCGCAAATGGCGTTCCTGCAAGTGCAGGTGAGGCGGCCCACAGGTGAGGCGGCCCACAGGCAAGCGGGAAGACGGGAGGGGGAGGAGAGTGCAGCACAGTGAGTGAGCTTATGTTGCTCGCATGGCAGTTTCTGCAGCTGCACGTGAGACGTGCCGGAGACAGGCGGGTGAGCCTGCTGTGGGGGCTGCAGTGGGGTTTGGGGGCGGGGCACAGTCAGAGAGTGGGCGGCAATGGCGCTCCTGCAGGTTTCTGCAAGCGCAGGTGACGGTGCAGAGTGCTTGTAGCGGTTGAGATGTTGCTGCTGCAAGTGCAGTGCAGCAGGCGATGTGGGGATGACGTGAGTGGGGACGCCTCGAAGCAATCTCATTGATAGGGTGGTGGGCACGAGGAAAGGAAGGGGGCAGGGGGGGGTGATCTGGCGGGCATGGCGTTTCTGCAACGGGAGGGGGAAGGTGGGGGAGCTGAGGGGAGAAATAGAGGGAAGAGAGGGAAGATGGGGGGAGGAGAGGGTGAGGTTCAGTCGCGGTTGGTTGTGAGAAAGAGCACTGTTGTTGCATGCCACGGCATGGCATGGCATGGCATGGCATGGCATGGCATGGCATGGCATGGCATGGCATGGCATGGCATGGCATGGCACGGCATGGCATGGCATGGCATGGCATGGCACGGCATGGCATGGCACGGCATGGTATGGCATGGCACGGCATGGCATGGCATGGCACGGCATGGCATGGCATGGCAAGGAGGTCCAAATAGCTGATCCCATGGCATGGCCTTTGACTGTCACCCAGCCCGCCCAGCCCCAGCATCCCACCTCTCACTGTCTCCTTCCACCTGCACACCTGCACACCGCACAGCACCCATGCACATCTCATGCTGCCACCTGCCCTGCTGCTCCTACTCACCTGCTCAACAGGTGCATTGCGTAGCCACCCTTTCCAGTTGCCGCCCGCCTGCTTCCACATGTTCTCAATGTTCTTCTGTCCACCCCCGTCTCTCTCTCTCACACCGTTCCCCGTCCCTCGTCCCACCACCGCCCCAGGTAGCGCGCTACGACTTCCCCTTCTGTAAGAAGGGCTTTCCTACCTCCGGCTCTTCGCTTCCCCCGTCCTTCACTTCACCTTGCGCCCCCTCCTCTCCCCCTCCCATCCCCCCCCCAGGTAGCGCGCTACGACTTCCCCTTCTGCATCCTCAGCCGCAAGAAGGGTCTGCCGGCCTTCCCCGTGGCCGCCGCCCTCTCCTCCACCTCTGCCGCCCTCAACGGCGCCAAGTGCCGCCCGTGCCGCCCCTCCGTGGTCGGCGGGCAGGCCGCAAAATACATCCTCGCGCTGCCCGAGCGGATCTTCGGCGCGCAGCCCCACGGGATCGACCTGTGCCGGGCAGAAGACGACTGGGCGGCAGACTGGCGCGAAATCTTCGATAAAGACGCGGGAGAGGTCCCAGCCGCCGCCCGGCAATACATGGAGACCCGAACCTTCGATGAGTGCGTGGAGGACTGGCGCTACTTCCACCAGCAAGTCCCTGTCTGGAACGCCCCTCCCCCAGTCTCCATCTGCGTGCGCGGGCTTCTGGGAAAGTTCCACAAGATGGGGTACCCGGGGGGGGATTTCCCTGTGTTTCTAGACCCGTGGGTGGGGGCGCGGGGGGAGGCGAGGGGGAGGAAGCCGGTGGTGTATTCAGCAGTGGCTGGGGTGGACTACAGCTTTGACTGGGCGCTCATGCGCAAGCTGCGGTGCCGCGTGCACGCGTTTGAGAGCACGCCTGAGGGCATGCGGTGGATTGGGGATAAGATTGACAACCTGCCGCCCGCCTCCTGGGTGCACCACGCTTGGCTGCTGGCGCCTCACGACCGCCCTCTGCAGGTAGGCTGCTTTGCGCAATGCGCACGTGTGCGCATGTGTGCGCATGTGTGCGTGTGGGAGGAGTCAAACGTGACCTCAATGCAGGGCATGAGCATGAGCATGGCATGGGTTGGTGACACGGGTCAAGGCTGGCGCGCCCGTGCTGCTGTTGTGCGGCATGGGGCCTGACTGAGTGCGACAGCGGTGGCTGTAGCCTGTAACCCCGTGGTTGTTCCCTCTGCCATCACCACGCCTCCATCTCTCACCTCACCATTCATGCCTCCATGCGTCCCCATCACCGTGCTTCAAGGTCCCTCCTTCCCTCACACCCCCCTTCTCACCGTGTTCCACTGACAGGTGAACTCAGTAGACATTGAGAGCACACCTGTGGAAGCTAACCGACATTCCTTGCCCTCTCCCCCTCACTCACAACTGTCCACCCCCAGGGGTTTAATAGAATACGACGTTTGGCACAACCCCGCGTAGACACCTTGTGAGGAAACCAACCCCTTACCCCCCCCCACACCACACCCCCACTCCTCCCCGCCCCCTTAATCCGGTCACCACCAGGTGTACCCACTAGACATAGAGGAGCACCCCGTTGAATACGCCGTGGCCGTGCCGCCCGGCATGGACGGCTCGTCGCTGCCGCCGCCCATCCAGGTGGAGGCGATGACAGTGGAAGGCACCATGAAGCTTCTGAACCACTCCATCGTGGATATCATGAGGATAGGCGGCCACGTGTCACTGCATGAAGCCATCTTTAGGGCGTGGGTTCAGGCAAAGCGTGCACCGCCCGTCTGCCAGGTGAGCATGGGAGGCACCTTTTGAGGTGCCTCAATACGTGGGCACGTGTCGCTGCATGAGGGAATATTCAGGTTGTGGATTCAGGGCAAGTGTGCTCCGCCCGTCGGCCTGGTGTGCATGTGTACTGGGGAGGTGGGATTGGCTGTTGTTTCCGCATGTTCTCTTTGAATCCCGCTTCCATCGCCTTGCCTTTTTCTCGACCTTATTGGCCCATGCTTGTCTTTTCGTAACCCATGAGTTATCAAGCCCACTGTCTCATCCACCCCTCCCGATCCCCACCAGATCATTGTGTCGTTCCACCACGGTGACAAGCACTATGGCAGCGCGGAGTCACAGCATGAATTACTGGCCTTGCGCTCGTTAGGGCTTGAGCTAGGCGTGTGTATAAGAAAGGATAACCTGTATGAGAGTTGTGTGCTGTACTCGGTACACCATTGCAAATACGATATTACATAATGCAATGATGCATTACCTCTTTGGCATTCCGGTATTACGCTGAAGAAAATGACATACGGTAGGGGAGCTCTGACACAGTCGAGTTGAATTATCTCCGTATGCTTTATGCAGAGATTTTAAAAAAAAAAACGGAAAAGAATTCCATGCCATGGTGTGCTTCATGCAGGGGCCTAGTCAGTGATAGAGCATATACTTATGTGGCTAGCTTATTTAATATTATAATGGAAGACCCTGTGCTATCGGATGTATAGCCTAGTATAGCTTTCATTAACTCAAGTGTAGTCTGAATGCTGCTCCAATATTGGTGTCAATATGGGTTTGCGGAAATCACGTTTCATACGGAAACTACCCAAAGTTGTACAAGGAAACCCGAAGGTAACTAAGACGCAGGCTGATTTACTCCCCACTGGCTAAGTTTAGATACTAGACGAACGCGCAAGAAACAGATTACACACATCTGCGGTAAGCGACAGCTGGAAAATCTGTAAACATATATCCCTCTTTTGCTGACTATTTTTCAGGTGCCACCATCTGTACACCCTACTCTGTACAGTACTGGGAACCCCCTCACCGAGCCGCAGCTTGACCCTTTGGATTCGCGCGACGCGTGATTTCACGGATTCAACCAGGACGTGAGGCTTGTTCCTGCGCTCTGCACGCACCGCGCCACGGCCTGGTACACCTCCACATCCCCATTCAAGGCGCTCTATCACATCCCTGATTGGTTCGTTGATTACTTCGACTGCCGCTAGCCCCTCGCTCGCATCGCCGTGAGTGGGGACGCCTCGAAGCAATCTCATTGATAGGGTGGTGGGCACGAGGAAAGGAAGGGGGCAGGGGGGGGGTGATCTGGCGGGCATGGCGTTTCTGCAACGGGAGGGGGAAGGTGGGGGAGGTGAGGGGAGAAATAGAGGGAAGAGAGGGAAGATGGGGGGAGGAGAGGGTGAGGTTCAGTCGCGGTTGGTTGTGAGAAAGAGCACTGTTGTTGCATGCCACGGCATGGGCATGGCATGGCATGGCATGGCATGGCATGGCATGGCACGGCATGGCATGGCATGGCATGGCACGGCATGGCATGGCATGGCACGGCATGGTATGGCATGGCACGGCATGGCATGGCATGGCACGGCATGGTATGGCATGGCACGGCATGGCATGGCATGGCACGGCATGGTATGGCATGGCACGGCATGGCATGGCATGGCAAGGAGGTCCAAATAGCTGATCCCATGGCATGGCCTTTGACTGTCACCCAGCCCGCCCAGCCCCAGCATCCCACCTCTCACTGTCTCCTTCCACCTGCACACCTGCACACCGCACAGCACCCATGCACATCTCATGCTGCCACCTGCCCTGCTGCTCCTACTCACCTGCTCAACAGGTGCATTGCGTAGCCACCCTTTCCAGTTGCCGCCCGCCTGCTTCCACATGTTCTCAATGTTCTTCTGTCCACCCCCGTCTCTCTCTCTCACACCGTTCCCCGTCCCTCGTCCCACCACCGCCCCAGGTAGCGCGCTACGACTTCCCCTTCTGTAAGAAGGGCTTTCCTACCTCCGGCTCTTCGCTTCCCCCGTCCTTCACTTCACCTTGCGCCCCCTCCTCTCCCCCTCCCATCCCCCCCCAGGTAGCGCGCTACGACTTCCCCTTCTGCATCCTCAGCCGCAAGAAGGGTCTGCCGGCCTTCCCCGTGGCCGCCGCCCTCTCCTCCACCTCTGCCGCCCTCAACGGCGCCAAGTGCCGCCCGTGCCGCCCCTCCGTGGTCGGCGGGCAGGCCGCAAAATACATCCTCGCGCTGCCCGAGCGGATCTTCGGCGCGCAGCCCCACGGGATCGACCTGTGCCGGGCAGAAGACGACTGGGCGGCAGACTGGCGCGAAATCTTCGATAAAGACGCGGGAGAGGTCCCAGCCGCCGCCCGGCAATACATGGAGACCCGAACCTTCGATGAGTGCGTGGAGGACTGGCGCTACTTCCACCAGCAAGTCCCTGTCTGGAACGCCCCTCCCCCAGTCTCCATCTGCGTGCGCGGGCTTCTGGGAAAGTTCCACAAGTTGGGGTACCCGGGGGGGGATTTCCCTGTGTTTCTAGACCCGTGGGTGGGGGCGCGGGGGGAGGCGAGGGGGAGGAAGCCGGTGGTGTATTCAGCAGTGGCTGGGGTGGACTACAGCTTTGACTGGGCGCTCATGCGCAAGCTGCGGTGCCGCGTGCACGCGTTTGAGAGCACGCCTGAGGGCATGCGGTGGATTGGGGATAAGATTGACAACCTGCCGCCCGCCTCCTGGGTGCACCACGCTTGGCTGCTGGCGCCTCACGACCGCCCTCTGCAGGTAGGCTGCTTTGCGCAATGCGCACGTGTGCGCATGTGTGCGCATGTGTGCGTGTGGGAGGAGTCAAACGTGACCTCAATGCAGGGCATGAGCATGAGCATGGCATGGGTTGGTGACACGGGTCAAGGCTGGCGCACCCGTGCTGCTGTTGTGCGGCATGGGGCCTGACTGAGTGCGACAGCGGTGGCTGTAGCCTGTAACCCCGTGGTTGTTCCCTCTGCCATCACCACGCCTCCATCTCTCACCTCACCATTCATGCCTCCATGCGTCCCCATCACCGTGCGTCAAGGTCCCTCCCTCCCTCACACCCCCCTTCTCACCGTGTTCCACTGACAGGTGAACTCAGTAGACATTGAGAGCACACCTGTGGAAGCTAACCGACATTCCTTGCCCTCTCCCCCTCACTCACAACTGTCCACCCCCAGGGGTTTAATAGAATACGACGTTTGGCACAACCCCGCGTAGACACCTTGTGAGGAAACCAACCCCTTACCCCCCCCCACACCACACCCCCACTCCTCCCCGCCCCCTTAATCCGGTCACCACCAGGTGTACCCACTAGACATAGAGGAGCACCCCGTTGAATACGCCGTGGCCGTGCCGCCCGGCATGGACGGCTCGTCGCTGCCGCCGCCCATCCAGGTGGAGGCGATGACAGTGGAAGGCACCATGAAGCTTCTGAACCACTCCATCGTGGATATCATGAGGATAGGCGGCCACGTGTCACTGCATGAAGCCATCTTTAGGGCGTGGGTTCAGGCAAAGCGTGCACCGCCCGTCTGCCAGGTGAGCATGGGAGGCACCTTTTGAGGTGCCTCAATACGTGGGCACGTGTCGCTGCATGAGGGAATATTCAGGTTGTGGATTCAGGGCAAGTGTGCTCCGCCCGTCGGCCTGGTGTGCATGTGTACTGGGGAGGTGGGATTGGCTGTTGTTTCCGCATGTTCTCTTTGAATCCCGCTTCCATCGCCTTGCCTTTTTCTCGACCTTATTGGCCCATGCTTGTCTTTTCGTAACCCATGAGTTATCAAGCCCACTGTCTCATCCACCCCTCCCGATCCCCACCAGATCATTGTGTCGTTCCACCACGGTGACAAGCACTATGGCAGCGCGGAGTCACAGCATGAATTACTGGCCTTGCGCTCGTTAGGGCTTGAGCTAGGCGTGTGTATAAGAAAGGATAACATGTATGAGAGTTGTGTGCTGTACTCGGTACACCATTGCAAATACGATATTACATAATGCAATGATGCATTACCTCTTTGGCATTCCGGTATTACGCTGAAGAAAATGACATACGGTAGGGGAGCTCTGACACAGTCGAGTTGAATTATCTCCGTATGCTTTATGCAGAGATTTAAAAAAAAAAACGGAAAAGAATTCCATGCCATGGTGTGCTTCATGCAGGGGCCTAGTCAGTGATAGAGCATATACTTATGTGGCTAGCTTATTTAATATTATAATGGAAGACCCTGTGCTATCGGATGTATAGCCTAGTATAGCTTTCATTAACTCAAGTGTAGTCTGAATGCTGCTCCAATATTGGTGTCAATATGGGTTTGCGGAAATCACGTTTCGTACGGAAACTACCCAAAGTTGTACAAGGAAACCCGAAGGTAACTAAGACGTAGGCTGATTTACTCCCCACTGGCTAAGTTTAGATACTAGACGAACGCGCAAGAAACAGATTACACACATCTGCGGTAAGCGACAGCTGGAAAATCTGTAAACATATATCCCTCTTTTGCTGACTATTTTTCAGGTGCCACCATCTGTACACCCTACTCTGTACAGTACTGGGAACCCCCTCACCGAGCCGCAGCTTGACCCTTTGGATTCGCGCGACGCGTGATTTCACGGATTCAACCAGGACGTGAGGCTTGTTCCTGCGCTCTGCACGCACCGCGCCACGGCCTGGTACACCTCCACATCCCCATTCAAGGCGCTCTATCACATCCCTGATTGGTTCGTTGATTACTTCGACTGCCGCTAGCCCCTCGCTCGCATCGCCGTGAGTGGGGACGCCTCGAAGCAATCTCATTGATAGGGTGGTGGGCACGAGGAAAGGAAGGGGGCAGGGGGGGGGTGATCTGGCGGGCATGGCGTTTCTGCAACGGGAGGGGGAAGGTGGGGGAGGTGAGGGGAGAAATAGAGGGAAGAGAGGGAAGATGGGGGGAGGAGAGGGTGAGGTTCAGTCGCGGTTGGTTGTGAGAAAGAGCACTGTTGTTGCATGCCACGGCATGGGCATGGCATGGCATGGCATGGCATGGCATGGCACGGCATGGCATGGCATGGCATGGCACGGCATGGCATGGCACGGCATGGTATGGCATGGCACGGCATGGCATGGCATGGCACGGCATGGTATGGCATGGCACGGCATGGCATGGCATGGCACGGCATGGTATGGCATGGCACGGCATGGCATGGCATGGCAAGGAGGTCCAAATAGCTGATCCCATGGCATGGCCTTTGACTGTCACCCAGCCCGCCCAGCCCCAGCATCCCACCTCTCACTGTCTCCTTCCACCTGCACACCTGCACACCGCACAGCACCCATGCACATCTCATGCTGCCACCTGCCCTGCTGCTCCTACTCACCTGCTCAACAGGTGCATTGCGTAGCCACCCTTTCCAGTTGCTGCCCGCCTGCTTCCACATGTTCTCAATGTTCTTCTGTCCACCCCCGTCTCTCTCTCTCACACCGTTCCCCGTCCCTCGTCCCACCACCGCCCCAGGTAGCGCGCTACGACTTCCCCTTCTGTAAGAAGGGCTTTCCTACCTCCGGCTCTTCGCTTCCCCCGTCCTTCACTTCACCTTGCGCCCCCTCCTCTCCCCCTCCCATCCCCCCCCAGGTAGCGCGCTACGACTTCCCCTTCTGCATCCTCAGCCGCAAGAAGGGTCTGCCGGCCTTCCCCGTGGCCGCCGCCCTCTCCTCCACCTCTGCCGCCCTCAACGGCGCCAAGTGCCGCCCGTGCCGCCCCTCCGTGGTCGGCGGGCAGGCCGCAAAATACATCCTCGCGCTGCCCGAGCGGAACTTCGGCGCGCAGCCCCACGGGATCGACCTGTGCCGGGCAGAAGACGACTGGGCGGCAGACTGGCGCGAAATCTTTGATAAAGACGCGGGAGAGGTCCCAGCCGCCGCCCGGCAATACATGGAGACCCGAACCTTCGATGAGTGCGTGGAGGACTGGCGCTACTTCCACCAGCAAGTCCATGTCTGGAACGCCCCTCCCCCAGTCTCCATCTGCGTGCGCGGGCTTCTGGGAAAGTTCCACAAGATGGGGTACCCGGGGGGGGATTTCCCTGTGTTTCTAGACCCGTGGGTGGGGGCGCGGGGGGAGGCGAGGGGGAGGAAGCCGGTGGTGTATTCAGCAGTGGCTGGGGTGGACTACAGCTTTGACTGGGCGCTCATGCGCAAGCTGCGGTGCCGCGTGCACGCGTTTGAGAGCACGCCTGAGGGCATGCGGTGGATTGGGGATAAGATTGACAACCTGCCGCCCGCCTCCTGGGTGCACCACGCTTGGCTGCTGGCGCCTCACGACCGCCCTCTGCAGGTAGGCTGATTTGCGCAATGCGCACGTGTGCGCATGTGTGCGCATGTGTGCGTGTGGGAGGAGTCAAACGTGACCTCAATGCAGGGCATGAGCATGAGCATGGCATGGGTTGGTGACACGGGTCAAGGCTGGCGCGCCCGTGCTGCTGTTGTGCGGCATGGGGCCTGACTGAGTGCGACAGCGGTGGCTGTAGCCTGTAACCCCGTGGTTGTTCCCTCTGCCATCACCACGCCTCCATCTCTCACCTCACCATTCATGCCTCCATGTGTCCCCATCACCGTGCTTCAAGGTCCCTCCCTCCCTCCCTCACACCCCCCTTCTCACCGTGTCCACCACCAGGTGAACCCAGTGCACATCCCTCGCCCTCTCCCCCTCACTCACAACTCTCCACCCCCATGAGTACCCGATAGAATACGACGTTTGGCACAACCTCACGTCGACACCTTGTGAGGCAAGGCAAACCAACCCCCTTCTCTTCTGCCCCCACACACACCACGCCCTGTAGAACACGCCGTGGCTGTGCCGCCCCACATGGACACCATAAGAATCCCCTGCCCTTTTCCCCTCCCATCCACCCCCAGCTGTACCCGCTGACATCTTTTGAGACGTCTCAAGAGTCATCCACCCCCAGGTGTACTTGCCGGACATCGAGGAGCACCCTGTAGAATACGCGGTGACCCGTGACCCCGCCGCCCCACGTGGCAACTCCTGAGTCAATACAACCCCCCCCTCACTCCCCTCCTTGGCCCCCCGTCTGTTACCGGGTGTGCTTGCCAGACATCGAGGAGCACCCTGTAGAATACTCCGTGGCCCCGCCGCCTCGCATAGACACCTTATTGGTCAAAGGGACCCCCCCACTCCACCCCCTCCACCCCCAGGTGTACCCACTAGACATCGAGGAGCACCCGGTAGAATACGCCGTGGCCCCGCCGCCCGGCATGGACGGCTCGTCGCTGCCGCCGCCCATCCAGGTGGAGGCGATGACAGTGGAAGGCACCATGAAGCTTCTGAACCACTCCATCGTGGATATCATGAGGATAGGCGGCCACGTGTCGCTGCATGAAGCCATCTTTAGGGCGTGGGTTCAGGCGAAGCGTGCACCGCGCGTCTGCGAGGTCAGCGTGGGAAGGAGAAGGTTGAGGGGAGGGAGGGGTTGAGAGGAGAAGGGGGTGGGGAGAGAAACGGCGTGATTGGCTGTTGTTTTCACATGTTCTCCTCGCATCTTGCTTCCATCTCCTCGCCAGTTTCTCTGACCTCATCAGCCCTTGCTTGTCTTTTCCTAACAACTTCCATGAGTAATCATCAAGCTCACCGTCTCATCCACCCATCCTCTCCTCTCCCCGTCAGATCATTGTGTCGTTCCACCACGGTGACAAGCACTATGGCAGCGCGGAGTCACAGCGTGAATTACTGGCATTGCGCTCGTTAGGGCTTGAGCTAGGCGTGTGTATAAGAAAGGATAACCTGTATGAGAGTTGTGTGCTGTTCTCGGTACATCATTGCAAATATGATATTACATAAAGCATTCATGCGCTACCTTTCTTTAGGCGCATTCAGTTTCTGAGTGACCTAGCACAACCTACCGTAATTACCAGCATGCATAAGATTAGCCATGTTTCACCCACATGACTTGTGGGGTTGTGTTCCAGTTTGCAAAAACCCCTCTGAACAGCCATATGCTATTGTTTGAACACAATATGGCCTAAATGATTTGCACTCCATCATCCATATCATTTATATGTCAACTTCACAACAATTAGTCTGGTTGGTGTAGTTTCTGGGTGCTACACTACCTTTTTTTATTACTATTGGCACATTTTCCCATAAAATGGGTGGATGCCATAGCCGCCCCAGCATCGGTCGGGCTGGACATGTGAAAAAATACTCGTTCCGCTCATCAACTACCCAGAGTTCTTCAAGGAAACGCGAAGGATATCTCAACTCAAATGTTGATATGCCCGATTGCTAAGTAATAGGGCCAAACAGCTGTGAAAACACATCAGTGGTGAAACTACCAGCAGCAAGACCTTGTCGAACTGGCTGGTAAACACTGGTAATGGCTTTCGATGATTAATGTTTCAGAGCTGTACCATCACCATCTGTACACTCCACTTCTGTGCTCTTTTCGGCCGGAACCCTCTCACCGAGCCGCTGCTTGACCTTTAGATTTGCGCGACGCGTGATATCGCGGATTGAACCGCGACGTGAGGCCTGTTCGTGCGGTGTGCACGCATCGCGGCATGGTTTGCTACACCTCCACATCCCATTCAAGGCGCTTCATCACATCTCCGATTGGTTCGTTGATACTGCTGCTAGCCCCTCGCGCGGATCGCTGTCCAATCATAGCCCTCGTTTCAGTGGTATTTCGCCCCTATGCCAAGCTGCGCCAATGTGCCCCATCGCCCTCCCAGGCATACAAAGCACCTCACACCATAGAAGCAACCTCCACCAAACTAGTGATACAGTTCGCCTGTGTTTTCGACACACTACTCCTCTCGATACTTCGTTTTCCGATCGACCAGGTCCACGCAACACTCCGATCTCTAGTTTCTCCCAGCTGCCGCCATCTTGCGCAATGGCCGTGGCAACGCAGATGCCGCCGTACGACATGGGGTGCGACGGCGCTCCTCTACGCAAGGCCTTCAGCACTCCCAAGCCCAACCGTGTCTCCCGTTCACCGAGTCCCGTCCCCCAGAAGTCGGTGCTGCAGGCGCCAGCGCGGCCGGCTCAGCCACAGCAACCCGTGCTCTATTCGCAATCCTCCTTTGGTCGACAGCAGCAGCCGTCCCTCTACGTTCCGTTCCAGCAGTCTGGTGCCGCTGCGCCATACAAAGTCGATGGTATGGCCGAGTTGACCTCTGCTGCCTCCGCTCCTCCCGCCGTGGCTCCCGGCGGCCTTCCGTCACCCAAGTCGGTGTTCGCTAATTACCCGGGCTCGCCGCAGCGCGCCGGGGCCGAAAGCCTCTTCAAGCCGGTCGCACCCGCCGGAGAACTCGCCCGGCCCGGTTCTCCCGCCGCAACTGGCGAAGCCACAACCACACAGCTCAAGCCGTTTGGGGGAAACTCGCTGTTCAAAGCGGCGGAGGTGGGCAACATGGTGATGCAGCAGCAGACGGCGATGCAGGTGGCGCAGATGACGCAGCAGATGAACCACATGCTGGCGGAGATCACCGCTCTCCGCTCAACCGTGGCGGAGCTGCAGGTGCAGGTGCAGTGCGCCAAGGCGCAGGCGCAGTCGCAGGCGGTGGCGCAGAGCGAGGCGCGCGGGGCGCTGAAGGAGAGCGCGCAGCAGGTGAAGGACGCGCTGCAGGAGGGGCTGCTGGACGTCAAGGAGCTCATCTCCTTCAAGTGAGTTTACGAGCTCGTTTGGGTTACCAAATGAAATGAGTGAGCTTTCGAGACGCCTTGGAAACTCGCTCGTTTCACGTCGCTGCGGGAGGGGCCGCTGGACGTCAAGGAGCTCAACTCCTTCAAGTGAGTTTCACGTCTTCGTTCTGTATTGTCAAGCACAGAGTCTAAATACTCTTACTTTCACGCGGACATCAAGGGTCTCCTTCAAGTAAGCTGTACGAGATCGTTTCGGTGTGTTTTGAAACGCCGCGAAACATAATTACTTACACGCGCACGTGAAGGAGGTCGTCGGATTTTGCAGCTCGTGTCATCTGGGTCATCTCATTAGCTAATCGCTCAGCACTCGTGATTTGTGAAACGGGTACCTAACGGCGCTGCTCCTCCCTCTTCCCCTTTCCCCCTCGACTCCCGTTCCGTCGCCTTGGCAGGGACGCGCAGCAGAAGGCGCGGCTATTCAACTCGTTCAGCACGCGCGACCGCGACCCCATGGAGCGGGTGCCTAACGACGCCGGCGAGCTGCCGGTTAGGTTCCCGGCTACCCGGAAGGAACTGACGGCCATGTCGCTGGACACGATGCAGTACCTCTTCGAGTTCTACCAGCTTCCCAAAGAGCCGCAGGACACTCTGTAAGTCGCGCCTTAACTCGTTAAGGCACGAGGAATAACTTCTCGTCTTTGACGTTTCCAGGTAGCCTCGGGACACCCGGTAAGTCGCGTCTAACCCCGCGCCTTCGCAGTAGGCTAACCCGGCGGTGGGCGTAGACATCTCGTCTACGCTGCCGACGCCCTCGGTCCCTCGCACTGTTGCCGCGCGACACAACTAACCAGCCTCTTGTGCTTTCCTCGTACTTTTCTCGCCCCCTTGTGCTTCCCCTCTCCCGCCCCGTTCTCCCCCGTTCAGCTACGACCGTCTGATGAAGCACATCGGCGTGCGTGTGTAGCTCTGCCAGTGCGCGAGGCTCGAATGACCCAGCAAGGCGACAGGCGTAAACGACCGCTCTATAAACAGACTCGAAATTCATGCGGATAGGTTGGGGTGGCAAAACCTCGTCAAAGAGGTGCACTCCGTAAGGCAGAGGTTATACCAGGCGCTAAGCTAGTCAACTCCATTATTATACAGTTGCAATGAAAGGGTTGGGGATATTCAGGACATGGTGTAAATGTACGGATTTGTTTTCCTTACAGCACTTTATTGGAAAAAAGTAACGCTAAAGCTCAGAAATATGGCAAGTTACAGCTGCGACAGTGCAATCACAATGTCAGCATTCACAGTCAACTGAATGTTGTCCAATCATGCCTGTTGCCCCTGCTGCTGTGCCTGAAGCGGCAGCAGGATGGGCAGCTTGGGGGTCCGTTCCGGCAGCACCACTCCCTGTGCCAGCCCTTGCTGCTGCGATCCTGCAGGCGAGGCCGTGTACATGCCCTGCTGCCCCTGCTGTTGCCCCTGCCCCTGCTGCTGTCCCACTGCCTGCTGCCCCTGGTGCTGCTGCTGCAGCGCGTGCAGCTGGGAGGGCAGCAGCATGGCAGGCAGGGGCGAGGAGAGCGGTTGCTGGGAGAGAGACGACATCCCCGACCCCACTGCCACTCCTGCAGGCGATGGTGTCACTGCTGCCGCCATGCCTGCTGCTGCTGCTGCCCCCTCCTTCTCGTGCAGTGCTGTTATTAACGCTGGCTGCAGCAGCAGCTGGTGCGAGTGGGATAGTAACGAGCGTGAGTAGGGGAGAAAATAAATGGCAAGGAAGGTTAGGAACATCCGAACAGGAAACACAACATCTACGTGGGCAAGACTCCAAATTGGACAATTGAAGTTGCCTTACAGGCAGGCTACTCAAGTTGCCAGGCATTAGCATGTCTGCATGCCCCACACATGCTCCCCGCAGGCATGCTTACCCCCTGGTACCCGGGATGTAAGCCCCCCCGCCCACCTGTTTCCCCCATCCTCACCTGCAGCTCCCTCTGCCGCACTGCAAGAGTCTCCTGTGCCTCCTGCACTCTTGCCACCGCTGCTAATGCCTGCATGACCACAGTGGGAGGGAGGGAGGGCAGGGAGGTGAGTGCTGATGAGTCGACTCACAAGTCAAACTTGCCGCAGCCGCTAACGCCTGCACTCCCAGTGGGAGGGAGGGCAGTGGTGAGCTGAGCACATTCGTTGCGCCTGCTTGTTGCAGGCGTTTTTTGGAGAGTGGTAGAAGAAACGTCTGCAATAAGAAGCACTGCGCCACAACAATGAATGACACTCGCTGCACTGTTAACCCAAGTAGCAGGGCTCACCTGATACATTCCTCTTCTCTCCTCCCATCGTTGCCCACTCTTCCCCTTGCCCCTTGCCCAAAACCCTCCTATTGCTGCATCACTTCCCTGCTGTGCTGAGCACTCCCCTCTCCTTCCTGCTACCACCACCTTCTGCCCTTCCTCCCTCGCCTCCCCCATCCCCTTCCTCACTCTCCCCCTCTCACTCCCCCTCACAGCCCGCCCACTTTGCTATGAAGAGCAATCTTCTCGTACCCGGCAGCCACCTGCTTCTTGCCTTCCTCGCTCTCCACCCCTCCCTTCCTCCCTCTATCCCCCCTCTATCCCCCCTCTATCCCCTCTCTCCCCCTCACACCCCCCCTCTCACAGCGCGCCCACCTTGCTGTGCAGCGCCATCTTCTCCTCGTACCCGGCAGCCACCTGCTTCGTCCCTTCCTCCCTCTACCCCTCCTCTCACCACCCGCCCGCCCACCTTGCTGTGCAGCGCCATCTTCTCCTCGTACCCGGCAGCCACCTGCTTCTTCGCCGCCTCCAGCACCTGGTGGTGGTGGCAGTGCGAGTGGTGGGAAAGGGGGAGTGGTGGGAGTGTCAGGAGTGGTGGGAGTGTCAGGAGCGGTGGGAGTGTCAGGAGTGGTGGGAGTGTCAGGAGTGGTGGGAGTGTCAGGAGTGGTGGGATTGACGGCGTTGATATCACTCAAAGAATGTACAGCTTGCCATCATCTCATGATGCATGTGATGCATGTGATGCATGTGATGCATGTGATGCATGTGATGCATGTGATGCATGTGATGCATGTGATGCATGTGATGCATGTGATGCATGTGATGCATGTGATGCATGTGATGCATGTGATGCATGTGATGCATGTGATGCATGTGATGCATGTGATGCATGTGATGCATGTGATGCATGTGATGCATGTGATGCATGTGATGCATGTGATGCATGTGATGCATGTACCTTCTCCCTTTCCCAGCACCCTTGCGCATCTCCCCTTGCCAGCGCACGCACCTTAATTCGCTCCTTGAGGCTCACTTCCGTGGCCGTGGCCCTCTGCAGCGCCTGCTCCAGCTGCTGCATCTGCATCACTCCGCCACATGCACGTACGCATCAGCACACACACACATGCAAACACCCGCCAACACAGGATTCGCATAGAAGCAAATGTTTGTTCACCGAGACAACAAGTCTGAAACGAGCCATTGATTGATCCTGCATGCAAAGAACGGTCATCTCTCCACCTGTGCCATAACCGCCTGCTTCTCTCGCCTCCGTTCCCTGACACACATGTGCACAATCGTACACATACACGTCCTCTTACACTCACATTCACATTTACACTCGCATTCATAATCACACTCACACTTACACTCATGCTCAAAATCACATTCACACTTACCTTCATACTCATAATCACACTCACACACACAGCCATCCCCCCACCTGCGCTGCCACGCTCTGCTTCTCCCGCCTCGCTCGCTCCACTGCCGCCCGCAGAGCATCCAGCGACTCGCCCCCCTGCCCCCCCTGGGCCCCTTGACCTGCTTGACTTGCTTGGCCCGCTTGACCCCGCGCGCCCCTTCCCCCCTCTCCCCCTGCGCCCTCCCTTGCTTGGCCGTGAGGAGCCTGGCGCTGCTGGCGGGAAGGCAGGCAGGGGATGGCATCGGAGGCATACGGGCAACGGCAAAATGCCATGAACACTTGTGAGAATGTCCAAAGGAGACATATGCACATGGTGTACAGTGGAAGGAGAGGCGAAGAGGGGAAAAAAAGAGATAGAGACATGGCACATGCAGTAGAAAAGGAAGATACAGGAAGGGGGATGATGCCACGTGTCCAAACACCATGGGCCTATGACTCACCGCCACGTGTCCAGATGCCTCGGGCGGCATGCGCTCGTCCTCATCATACTCCCCCTCCCCCCGTCCCCGCCCCATCTCATCCTCCCCTCCCCTCCGCCCCCTCCCACCTCCGCCTCCCCCCGGCCCTCCCCCATTGCTGCGCCCAGCAGGGGGGTGGTCGGGGGAAGCATAGGGGCTGCCCCCTCGGGGGCTGCGGCTGCGATCTGCCAGGCAAAGGGGGTAAGGCGCAGAAAGGGGAAAGGGGACGTGGAGAGGGAGGGGGGGGGGAGTGGGGGGGAGGGGATGACAAAGATGGAATTGGGGGTAGGTGTCAGTTTCTGTGGCAATGCATATGAGATATCCTCGTAGGAGGAAAATTTGACTGGAGCGATTAAGGGTAGCATGACGACAGAACAGGGCGGTAGGGCATGGGACGGGGAGGGTGAGGGAGAGACGCGGGAGTGAGAGAGACGAGGGCGTCGGTAGGAGGAGGTGGGAGAGGGGTTCACTTGAGGTTGAGTGAAGTTAGGGGCTTACAGCGGACGCGAGACGGCGGGGATCGGGAGCGGCGAGGTGGGGACATGGAGGGGCGGCGAGCAACACCGCTGCAGAGAAGAGCCACGGGGGGAGGAAAGGTTCGGGAGGGATACTTATGAGCAGTTTTTGGTCACACGTAGGGGCGTCTGCAAGCTGGCACACAAAACGGTGTGCAACAAGAGATGGACCTTCAACATGCAGAAGCTGAATATCTAGTGACTGAATATATAAGTTGCACCCCGCAAGCAGCACCTTTACAGCTACAAACAGAAGTGTACTTATCCATACAGAGTCTGTCTAAGAGTAACTGCGAACGAACCCAGGGGTGCAAGAGCAGGCTCACCCTCTGGGCCTTTCACGGTCTCGCTCGAAGGAGGACTGGCGGAAGAAGCCCCCGTCTCCCCGCCTGCGCACCTCCGACACCTTGATTGGCCGCCCGTCCACTATCTGGTCGTGCGCCCGCCGCCCACGCACAGGGCAGCATGCACAGCGCACACACAACCAGCACACACAGCCACGGTTGCGTGCGATGCCAAAGAGGAAAGAGAAGGACTGATTCTGTTGAACGCCTCCTTCCCTCTTCATCCATAAACGTCATTGCTCATCATCCCCTGCTCAGCCTCCCTAACTCCCTCACCTCACCATCCATATGCTTAAGAAAGCCCGCCTCACCTCGCCGTCCAAGGCCTTAAAGCCCGCCTCACCTCGCCGTCCATGGCCTTAAAGCCCGCCTCACCTCGCCGTCCATGGCCTTAAAGCCCGCCTCACCTCGCCGTCCATGGCCTTAAAGCCCGCCTCACCTCGCCGTCCATGGCCTTAAAGCCCGCCTCACCTCGCCGTCCATGGCCTTGATGGCGTCCTGAGCTGCCTTGGGCGATGCGAAGGTCACAAAACCGAAGCCCCTCGCCTTGCCCGTCTCCCTGTCGTATATCACCTGCCAGACAGGCAGCACACAGGCACAAGCAGCACGGACGGAGCGCAATATGTGAATATTATGACGGAGCCCCTCGCCTTGCCTATCTCTCTGTCGTAGATCACCTGCACAACACACGCAACACACAAGCAGCAGCAAGCAAAAATGGAGTCACGTTTGATTACTCTCAGAAGTGACTCCAACGAACCCCCTCGCCTTGCCTGTTTCCCTGTCGTGGAACACCAGCACGCAGGCAGAAACGAGCAGCACGGACGGAGTGGGCAGAAGAGGAGAGCAAGGGGGCGATCATCAAGACGACGAAGCGGACGCTTCCCCCCGTTTTAATAGTGTCCCTTGTTTAGATCGCCTGGACGCAGGAAGCGGTTGGGAGAAAGCTTACATCTCGATGAAGCACTCGCGAATTCCATCTACAGCTCGAGTAACGCCGATCTTCGCGAAATGGCCTGGGAGAAGCGAGCAACAGTAGCCGAATAGTAACCGCGACGCCGAAGTAACCGTTACTGTACGAAAGGAATTCCTTAACGATGAAGTTACCTTCGCGGAGAGGACTTCGCCGAACTCCTCGAAGACCTTCTTGATGGCACCCTCGTCGCTGTCGAACGGCAGCCCGCCCAGATACACTGTGTGCCCCTCCTCCGACGCCATGCTGCCGTCGCACGCGTCGCAACCGTCGTACTCGTCGCACTCGTCGCCGGACTCACCGGGACAGGGAGATTAAAAAACGGAAGGGGAGAGGCAGGCTATGAAACTGGATCGGAAAGAAACAGAAACTCAGACGAAGGGTGGTGAGGGAGGGACGCGGAACCCGAGTGTGGAGGGGGTCGTGGGGGTGACGAGGAAATCTCTAGGTGGTGCTGCGTGTGATTTTTGGTGGGGCGCGATTAGGAGATCTCAAGGCTTTACAGGTATGGCGCGACTCGCACACTTCAGGTGACCTTCAGCGGGATTTCAAGGGTGTGCCCTTGGGAATACGCGCTCGATATTGTCGACCTCGACAAAAGAAAACAATTCTGAACATACGTTCAATAAACTTTTAAATGTTTTTGCGTTGCACTGTCTTTGTCTTACTCATAATAGGGTACATCATGGTATTCATTCTCTTTCAATACCCATAACTTGATTACATTGTGCACGAAATTCCGAAGCCAATTGGTCCGCAAATCTCAACACTGGCGACTCACTACCACCCACTACACCGCCACTCTGCTTGCACCGGCTCCCAACGCCCAGCTGCTGTGAAGTATCTGCTGCTGTTGGTGTGGCTAGTGGGGCTGGAGGCAGCTTGGCATCAGGTAATGGTGGTGTGCAGTGACTGCATTGGGATGGCATGGCACCAGGTAATGGTGGTGCACTGTCACCACATGGGGATGGTGTGGCACCCTGCACTGATGTCATGCAGTAACGACATGGGGATGGCACGGCATCATGCACTGATGTCCCATAGCTATGTTCGTGTGACGATGCAGCATGGGGATGTGCTGCTCTCGCTCCGAGGTCTCTGCTTGACTCCACGTGGCGGCTGAACTGCTGCAGCAAAGACCGTCGAGCGGCGTTCAGTGCTGATGCCTGCTCCCTGCGCACATGTGGTGGGCCTGGTGGCATGCCATGCACACAGGCACACGACATGGCACAGAAGAAAAACACGAGGTTTGGCAGGCGTCGGGGGAGCATGGATCTTGGTCGGGGTGAGAGCAGTGGACATGCATGCATGATGCATTGTGGCACCACCCTTCATGCCAACCATGAGTCACCACACCCAAGTTTTCCAGTTAAAAAGCATCTGATTATGGGAGAGCTTTGAATTTGGATTGACAAGAAAAAAATAAAAACATACTTTGCACACCATTACACGAGCAGGGAAAGCACACTGTCAAACTGATGGATGGGTAAGTGACAAACCTTTGCCCACCTGGGATGGATCTGCACCCTCGCCACAATCCCTTGCTCGTTCCCCCCTGCGCTGAACTCGCCCCCTGCTCACAACTCACCAGCTGCACCTGGAGATTGCCTCAGGGCGTGTGAGAGGAGCTTCCTCAGCCGCAGGTCAAACCCATGCACTGCACTGCTTGGATAGGAGGAGCGCAGCGGGCAGACGAGCACGGTGCAGTTGGCAGTAATGGGCAAACACACCTTGGCGACCTTGGCTCACCTGCTGCACCTGACGACTGCCTCAAGGCGTGTGAGAGGAGCTTCCTCAGCCGCAGGTCGAACGCATGCACTGCACTGCTGCTTGCGGTGGTGCTGCTGCTGCTTGCGGTGGTGCTGCTGCTGCTTGCGGTGGTGCTGCTGCTGCTTGCGGTGGTGCTGCTGCTGCTTGTGGTGGTGCTGCTGGTAGTGCTGGTGCTGGTGCCGCTGCTGCTGCTGTGGGCGGCATGGGTAGTAACAGTGGGAAGGGAGCGGCGCCAGAGGGAGAAGAGGGCTTCAAGGGCCCTTGCACTGCACGCAGGAGGGAGACATGGGGCAGGCTATCTTTGAGGCGCCTCACAACTAGCCTTCAAGGGCCCTTGCAGTGCAGGGAGAGGGAGAGAAAGGGCAGTTGGAGTTGACGGGGATGATGGGTTAAACCGTTAAGGCATGGAAGTGGAGGGCAAGGGGTGGCAGCGAAAGGTTGGGCAGTGGTCAAGAGGTGCAGGGGTGTCAAGAGGTGCAGGGGTGTCAAGAGGTGCAGGGGTGTCAAGAGCTGCAGGGGTGTCAAGAGCTGCAGTCACAACTCCTTTCCATTCCTTTACTCATCCCCTCCTAACTCTCTTGCTCCGTCCCACTCTCATACGCCACCCCCCCCACACCTCCCATACTCACCCTCTTACCCCCTCTTTTTCTCACTCACCCCCTCGCTCACCTCACATCCGCCACCTCCCCCACGGCCACGCCACCTAAGTCCACCGCCACACACCGCCCCGCCTCCCACTCGCCCCGCCGCGACCAACACAGCACCCCGGAATCATCAGCAGCAGCAACAACGCCAGTGCCTCCCTCTCGCCCTCCTTCCTTCTCTCGCCCCTGACCGCCCCCTGCTCCCACCGTGTCTGCACTTCCCTCCCCTGCTCTCTCCTCACACCCCCCCACACCCACAGTCACCACAGGTACCCCCCGGGGAGGCTCAAGGCGGGCGGCCGTGCGGCGGATCACTGCGGATGGCAGGCGGGCGGCGGGAGGGCGGCGCGCGTTGCAGGATATGCACTGGTCTAGGGGCGTGGTGACGTGGAGGATGAGACACGTGGCACCATCTGAGTGGGCAGAAAGCAGAGCAGATCGCACACATGCAGACAGGGGGAGGGGGCGGGTGAGGGTTGGGGCTAATAACAATGGAATCCATCAGAAGCAAGCCTGTGTTTCAATCAAAGCATTTGACATGAAATGCGTAGGGGCATGTATGGGGGCACACAAGCCGGCATGCACGTAGGCATGCATGTGGGCATATGTATGCATGGGGAGCACATAACAACTCACATGAGTGAGCGAGTCGCAGCAGCTGCAGGCGCATGGAGCGCAGATGCATGGTGTCATCTGCAACCACCATGTGTGCCGGTACCCCCGCCCCCACTGCTGCTGCTGGCGGGGCTGCTGCTGCCGTCTCTGCGGCATTTGCACAAGCAGCAGCAGCGCCCTCACGCCCCCCCTGGCTGGCACGTGCGAGGGCTGCAGTGAGTGCTGCGAGCGCCGTGACACGACTGGCCTGGGCGTGCATGGGGGCATGCATGGATGAGAGCATGTATGGGTGCAATTGGGCATGTTTGGGACAGCAGTCAGAGCAGCACAGTGCACGCAATGGGATGAACCGAGGGAGCATGATGGGAATGAGGAAGAGGAAAGGCAGGCAGTCGTGCTGGTAAGGCAACGAGACGGTGGGAGCCACAAGCAGACTGTATTTAAATAAGGGCCTCAGTTGTCCACGTCAGCAATCCTCACCTTCCAAGCATCATGACTGAAAGCAGCACACGTGTCAGCAATTGCAACATCGCCCACATTCCCTTCCTCCTCCACACTCCCCTCCTCCCCCACACTCCCCTGCTCCTCCGCACTCCCCTCCTCCCCCACACTCCCCGCGTTGCCTCCGCCACGCGCATAGCTGTCGAACGACACGAGGGTCGTGTGCGCGCCTGCCTGCGCACACACACGTGGTGATCCGCATTCAGCCGTGCCACATTGTACCGTTGTGCCACACTGAGAGTTGGGCCCAGTCTTGGGACGCCGTAAAGAGCGATGGAGCAGGGGGGAAGACAGCGCGGGATAAATTGGGAGGTGAAGGGAAGCGGGCGCGGGATGATCGCTCACCTGCCGCGCGAGTTGCGCGAGGGCGGCGCACAGCGTGCTCTTGCCCGCGCCCGGCAGTCCCATGGCCACCACCAGGAGCGGGGACACGGGGAGCGACAGGCTGGGCGGGGGCGGCGCTGCGAGCGGGACGATGGGGGCGATGGGGGAGGGCGAGGCGGAGGGGGTGGTATCGGGAAGGGGTTCGGGGGAGGGCATGTGGGGGGGTTTCATTGCGCGCGGAATCAGGCCCCGTGGTGCCGCCGACGGCTGGGCAAATTAGAGGCGGCAGTGATGGATGATTAGAGGCGGCAGTGATGGATGATTAGAGGCGGCAGTGATGGATGATTAGAGGCGGCAGTGATGGATGATTAGAGGCGGCAGTGATGGGTGATTAGAGGCGGCAGTGATGGATGATTAGAGGCGGCAGTGATGGATGATTGAACCTACATGGCGTAGAGTCGGACGCGTGCCAAAGGTACAGAGGTGCGCTATTGCTTGTGTCCTAACGGTAAGTTATTTTAAAGCTCGCGTCTCATATTTTTTTCCGTTTTACACTTGAGAGCGTTTAACACTTGGTTGGGTTCCGTGACTGGTTGAAGAATGACAAAATCTGTGACGAGCTGGGGTGCGATTCTGGCGGAACCAATCGTGGACGTGCAAACCCAACCGAGTGTTAAACGCTTGTAAATATGAGACGCGAGCTAACGAGCGCTATACTGACGAACAGCTGGCTTTCCTGGTCAAGCCTGCTTTGTGGTAACATACAGAGTCTGCTTTGACGAAATTGAGTGTTCCAAACAATTCCTCGCGAACTCGCAATAACTCGCTACTCAACGAGATCGTGACGACCCTGTCCAGTCGCACAAACGCAAGCCACCACGACGACGACAGGGTAACATAGATCTTCGCAAGAGTCAGCTGGCGATAATTCAGACCCAAATCCCCGCCAAATATTGCTGTAACTTGAACCACAAGCAACCTATCAAATGTTTGTACTGTACATTTGTGAAACCACGTTGTCAGACGTTGATGACTGTATCGCATTTATCACAACATTTAGTTTCGTACATTCCAGCCGAACCATGACTTCTCTCGAGCTGCGTTGTGCCACGTGGATCTCCGCGCCACGTCACTTCCCCGCGTCCGCGAATTCGTCTGTCGCGTCCCTTTCGGCGCCAGTCGCGCTTGCCCCGCGCGTATCGGCGCCATCCTTGGTAGCGACAAGGAGTCACGAATCCGGCGGTCGTAGCAGCTTCTTTGGCGGCGATAGACTAAGATTAAACAGCCTGCCAGCCTGTCATGTCGTCGGTAGGAAGGCTTGCAAGGCGGTGCGGCCAGTGGCCGCAGTTGGCGGCGGGGGATCCGGCGAGAACGACGCGGACGGGAGCGCGAGGCGGAAGAAGGACGAGAGCATTCAGCTGTACAGCCGCATTGAGAGGTGCGTAACCGGTGGTACCTGATGGGTCGTCGGACATCGACAAGTACCAGACAGTTGGTAGGCACCTTATTAAAGCACGTTGGCACCTTATTAAAGCACGTTGATATCATTCGCCTGGGCATGTTGCTTTCTCCCTCTTCCCCGTGCTCTTTCCCCCCTCATCCCCCTCCCCCCTTCCTGTCCTCCACCTCTCCTTCATTCCCAGCCTGATCTCAGAGTCTGCTCGGCAGTCCCAGGGTGCTGACGCGGCAGGACAGTGGGAGGAGGTGGAGGTAAGAGAGGGAGGGGGGAGGGGGAAACGGGGAGGAAAAGGAGAGGAAGGAGGGGAGGAGGATGTGGTGGAGTTGTGGGAGTGAGAGAGTGGGATAATGCCTGCTGTATTAGCGGCAAGTGCAGGGCAGAGCGGCACATGACTGCTTTTCTCCCGCCTCGCTTATTTCCTTCATGTTCCCAACCCCACTCTCCCCTCTCGCTTCGCCAGTGCCATCCCTCTCGCCCTTCTGCACTCGTGTTCCTATTCCCCCCCCCCACAGGGCGCGTGGGTGCTGCGCCCACCTGCCCCTCTGCAGGCGACAGCGGTGGTGCACTTCATAGGGGGAACCTTCGTGATTTTTTATTGCACTCAAAATTCACCACCTGCCTGTCTCCCCTGCACACTCGCACTCCTCAATCTCTTCCCCCCCACAGGGCGCGTGGGTGCTGAGGCCGCCAGCCCCTCTGCAGGTGACAGCGGTGGTGCACTTCATAGGGGGGGCGTTTGTAGGCGCGTCTCCTCAACTCACCTACCGCCTCTTCCTCTCCACGCTGGCACAGAGGTGAAGAGAGATGCGTGACGGTTGAGAGGGGTGATCGGAGTGTCTCAGGGGGGACGCTGCCATGGAACAGAGAGAGACTGCTTGCTTCGTAGGGAAGGGGGGCCATATGGCACTTACTCGATTGCTGCTTGCATCACTCGAACTCACGTATTGCCACTTCCCTCCAGAATGGCACAGAGGTGAAGAGAGTGATTCCTCTCCATGCATCGCCTGCCATGCCATGCCCATCCATGCATCGCCTGCCATGCCATGCCGATCCATCTGCCTCTCTTTCCTTCCGGGCTTGTGACTTGCCTCCTTCCCCTCCATGCCTCGTCTCCTGATCAAATTGCTGCCAGCCTGATCCCCTATTCACGTCCCTTCAACACACTGCCTCCTCTCCCACTTGCTACTCGTCCTCACGCTCATGACGACTTTAATATCACAGGTTTTTCCTTCCTCCGTCCCCCCTTCCTTCCTCCCTCCCTCTCCCCACAGGGGACTGATGGTGGTGGCAACACCGTACGCGAGTGGCTTCGACCATCTCAGGATCGCGGACGAGGCGCAGTTTAGATTCGACCGCTGCATGCGCTCGCTCTCGCTTAAATCCCAGCCGCCCAATGATGTATGCGCTCTCTCTTAAAGCCGTCATTCACACGTACACTTCATCCGTGTATGTATGCATCCCTGGGCCATGCACCGAGCTGACTCTCTCACTCCATGACCGTGCCCCAAGCCATGTTCAAGTGTCGTCCCGTGCATTTCACCATGCATCTTAACATTCACCCCACCATGCATCCCAATATGCATGTCCTCCCTTGCATGTCATCCCATCATGTCATCCCACCATGCATGTCATCCCACCACGCATGTCATCGCCACCAACAGCCCATGGACCTGCCAGTGTACGGCGTGGGGCACTCCATGGGCGCCCTCGTGCACCTCCTCATCGGTACGCACCTCCTCATCGGTACGCACCTCCTCATCGGTACGCACCTCCTCATTGGTACGCACCTCCTCATCGGTACGCACCTCCTCATCGGTACGCACCTCCTCATCGGTACGCACCTCCTCATTGGTACGCACCTCCTCATTGGTACGCACCTCCTCATTGGTACGCACCTCCTCATTGGTACGCACCTCCTCATTGGTACGCACCTCCTCATTGGTACGCACCTCCTCATTGGTACGCACCTCCTCATTGGTACGCACCTCCTCATTGGTACCCACCTCCTCATTGGTTCGCACCTCCTCTGTCCAGTCCGCTAACCAACTGGGCTAAAAGGGCATGTTTCCTTGGTGGGTCAGCGCACCCATACCCCCCCAGGACGACACCTGTAGCCCTTGGGGAGACCACTTCGGGCCATTCCAGTGTCCACTTCCAACATCCTCATTGGTACGCACCTCCTCATCGGTACGCACCTCCTCATTGGTACGCACCTCCTCATCGGTACGCACCTCCTCATCGGTACGCACCTCCTCATCGGTACGCACCTCCTTATCGGTACGCACCTCCTCATCGGTACGCACCTCCTCATTGGTACGCACCTCCTCATTGGTACGCACCTCCTCATCGGTACGCACCTCCTCATTGGTACGCACCTCCTCATCGGTACGCACCTCCTCATTGGTACGCACCTCCTCATCGGTACGCACCTCCTCATCGGTACGCACCTCCTCATCGGTACGCACCTCCTCATCGGTACGCACCTCCTCATCGGTACGCACCTCCTCATCGGTACGCACCTCCTCATCGGTACGCACCTCCTCATCGGTACGCACCTCCTCATCGGTACGCACCTCCTCATCGGTACGCACCTCCTCATCGGTGCGCACCTCCTCATCGGTACGCACCTCCTCATCGGCACGCACCTCCTCATCGGTACGCACCTCCTCATTGGTACGCACCTCCTCATTGGTACGCACCTCCTCATTGGTACGCACCTCCTCATTGGTACGCACCTCCTCATTGGTACGCACCTCCTCATTGGTACGCACCTCCTCATTGGTACGCACCTCCTCATTGGTACGCACCTCCTCATTGGTACCCACCTCCTCATTGGTTCGCACCTCCTCTGTCCAGTCCGCTAACCAACTGGGCTAAAAGGGCATGTTTCCTTGGTGGGTCAGCGCACCCATACCCCCCCAGGACGACACCTGTAGCCCTTGGGGAGACCACTTCTGGCCATTCCAGTGTCCACTTCCAACATCCTCATTGGTACGCACCTCCTCATCGGTACGCACCTCCTCATTGGTACGCACCTCCTCATCGGTACGCACCTCCTCATCGGTACGCACCTCCTCATCGGTACGCACCTCCTCATCGGTACGCACCTCCTCATCGGTACGCACCTCCTCATCGGTACGCACCTCCTCATTGGTACGCACCTCCTCATTGGTACGCACCTCCTCATCGGTACGCACCTCCTCATCGGTACGCACCTCCTCATCGGTACGCACCTCCTCATCGGTACGCACCTCCTCATCGGTACGCACCTCCTCATCGGTACGCACCTCCTCATCGGTACGCACCTCCTCATCGGTACGCACCTCCTCATCGGTACGCACCTCCTCATCGGTACGCACCTCCTCATCGGTACGCACCTCCTCATCGGTACGCACCTCCTCATCGGTACGCACCTCCTCATCGGTACGCACCTCCTCATCGGTACGCACCTCCTCATCGGTACGCACCTCCTCATCGGTACGCACCTCCTCATCGGTACGCACCTCCTCATCGGTACGCACCTCCTCATCGGTACGCACCTCCTCATCGGTACGCACCTCCTCATCGGTACGCACCTCCTCATCGGTACGCACCTCCTCATCGGTACGCACCTCCTCATCGGTACGCACCTCCTCATCGGTACGCACCTCCTCATCGGTACGCACCTCCTCATCGGTACGCACCTCCTCATCGGTACGCACCTCCTCATCGGTACGCACCTCCTCATCGGTACGCACCTCCTCATCGGTACGCACCTCCTCATCGGTACGCACCTCCTCATCGGTACGCACCTCCTCATCGGTACGCACCTCCTCATCGGTACGCACCTCCTCATCGGTACGCACCTCCTCATCGGTACGCACCTCCTCATCGGTACGCACCTCCTCATCGGTACGCACCTCCTCATCGGTACGCACCTCCTCATCGGTACGCACCTCCTCATCGGTACGCACCTCCTCATCGGTACGCACCTCCTCATCGGTACGCACCTCCTCATCGGTACGCACCTCCTCATCGGTACGCACCTCCTCATCGGTACGCACCTCCTCATCGGTACGCACCTCCTCATCGGTACGCACCTCCTCATCATCGGTACGCACCTCCTCATCAGTACGCACCTCCTTGTTTCCCCATCAACCAACCCTGGTTATGCCTTCCCACTGGTGACGCTCATCCCTTCCTGTCTCCGCTCTACAGGGAACAAGCCACCTTCCATTCTGCACCATGCTTGCATTTCCACTTTCCTCTCCTTGTTAATCGCCTGCTTTGTCCAGGCTGGAGCGCATTGCTCCACATAGCAGTCGCAGCTCCGCAATGCGGGCCCTCATTCCTTTGGCTCGCTCCTCCCTTCCCTTCCTTGCTGTGCCTCCGGCTTTCCTCTCCGCCTTTCCTCTCCGCCTTTCCTCTCCGCCTTTCCTCTCCGCCTTTCCTCTCCGCCTTTCCTCTCCGCCTTTCCTCTCCGCCTTTCCTCTCCGCCTTTCCTCTCCGCCTTTCCTCTCCGCCTTTCCTCTCCGCCTTTCCTCTCCGCCTTTCCTCTCCGCCTTTCCTCTCCGCCTTTCCTCTCCGCCTTTCCTCTCCGCCTTTCCTCACCACTCAGATTCTCTCTGTCGTTCCTTTCTGCCAATACCCATCTGTCCTCTGCTGTCGCCATACCCGTCTGTCCTCCATATAAGGTGCTCGCTACGCTGTGGAGAGAGCTGGGAACGTCTTTATCTCCTTCAACAACAAGGTACCTTTTTTTCAATCCTCCTTGTTCTTTTTCTCACCCTCTGCCCCATCGTCATGATGACCCTGACAAGCGATGTACCGAGATTTTTATCTTGTTTCTACTGATATGGAGGTTCCACATTAAGGTCCTCGTTTCTTCATTGTCCGCCCCCTGCCACTCCTAGTGCATGTAACTGAGTGTCGCCTTTTCCCGCTCATCATGCCCCTGCCCCAGTGCCTTGCTTGCTGGCACTCCCCCTCTTCGTCTCTCCCCTCCTCCCCCTTCCCCTCTCCTCACCATTCGTGCCGCCACTGTAAGAGGCCAGTATGGCCGTTTTACAGTTTTCACAAATCATCATGCCCGTGCCTCACACCCTTGCTGCCCTACCCTCTTACCCCTCTCACCCCTCTCCCCTTGCAGGAAGCCAGTGCAGCCATACCCTTGTTCTCGCCGGTCATCATGCCAATGGCACAGAGCCTGGGCCCCATCCTCACGCAGCTGCTCAACAACCCCACCCTCAAACTCGGGGTCCGTGCCACGCCTCGCATCCTTTCTCTCCCTCTCCCTTTTCCATCCACCCTCAGCGCACGCCGATCAATCAAATCGTCTGCTCTCGTATCATTGATTTTCCAACACACTTCTCTTCCCACCTGCCTTCCTGCCTGCCCATCTGCCATCCATTTACTGTGAACCTGCTCTCCTACAATCCTCCCAGCCTCTCCCTGTCTCCTGTCTCCTCATCCCCTATCTCCTCTCTCTCCTCCCCATGCCGCCCCAGGCTGACGTGGCAGTGAAGCAGTTGAGGGATCTGAACGCACCAATGGTGGCGCAGCTGTTGCCGCTGCTGGAGCAGCTGCCACCGCTCTACCGCGACCTCTCTGATGGCCGTGATGAGTTCACACCTGCTCCAGCTGAGACCCGCCGCCTGGTGAGAGATTATTCCTAGGTGGCACCAGGCCTGGTCAGGGCAGTGCACACCTGCACCAAGCTTTGGGGAGAGTTTACTCCTAGGCGACACTAGGCGCTGTCAGTTCAATTCACACTTGCACCAGGTAAGACCCTCCTCCTACCCCGCTCTCACACCTGTCCTAGTCATTCAACTGGTACGCCGCAAGGTGGGTGCGCTTTGGAAAAGACACTTGTTCTGAGGCACCATAGAGCCACCTGCTGGTTTCCCTCCCCACTGTCCCTGCCCACCACCAGGCCAACGCATACCACGGCATGCAGCACAACCTGCTGCTGTGCTTCAATAAAGGAACCTGAATTGAGACCCTTTAGACCCACCTGTCTCCCCCCTTCCTCCCTCCGCTCCTCCCTGCCCACCACCAGGCCCAGCCATACTACAGAGCGCGGCGCAACCTGCTGGTGCACTTACAAAAATTCAACTGCGCCCAGGCACCTGCTGTCCCTCCCTTCTCCATCTCCCCTCCACCCCCAGGCCCAGACGTACTACGGGGTGTGGCGCAACCTGCTGGTGCGCTGTGAAAACGACACAACTGCACTCAGGCGCTCTAGAACCACCTGCTGCTTCCCCTCCCCACTCTCCCTTTCAACCACTCTTCCCCCTCCACCCCCAGGCCCAGACGTACTACGGGGTGCGGCGCAACCTGCTGGTGCGCTTCAAGGATGACACCATCGATGAGACCGCTGACCTGGCGGACACGCTGGCAGCGGGCAGCGCTGTGTCAGCGTGCCTCGACCTCGCCATGCGCACGCTTCCAGGCGACCACGTGCGCCCGCTGCGCCAGGTATGCCAGGTGGCATGAATCTCTGTTACCCTGAGTGTGAAAACCCTGCAAGCTGACTCTGGTATCTGCTGTGTTTACACAAGGCTACCTGCTGACTTTCTGCTCCGATTTCCACGGCCCTCACCTGAGGGCTTAAGGCCTCAGGCGTCACCTCTGCCACCTTTGCTGCTCCACCCTCCCCAATCCTCTCTTTCCTCCCCCATTCCCACCATGGCGCCTCTCCGTTTTTACCTTGTACAGGTGGTCCCCGAGATCCCGCAGACTGTCGCTGACGTGGTGTCTCGTGGCAGCTCCCTGCTGGCCTCCATGACAGCTGGCACGCCCCTGGCTGACCTGGCGCGCGGCGTCAGCGACACGCTGACGGGGGCCGTGGGGCTAGGGGGCGAGGGGGAGGGTGGCGGAGGGGGCATGGGCGGAGGGATGGGGAGGATGCAGCGGGACGTGCGGGAGGACATGGAGCAGCTGGTGGATGAGGTCGCGCCGTTCATGGGTGCGCTCACTCGCCCTTCCACCGAGTCGCCACGGTTGCTGCCACGGATATGATGCAGTCGCGATGGTTTATGAGAGAATATTGTTTTTTTCTTTTTTCTTTTAATGTGGGAGCGCGGGGTGAGCATTGGTGTGTAAGATTTTTCATTTTAGTATTTGCTGTAGTCTCTACATGGGGTGGTTATGTAAAAGTACAGGATACGTTATGTGGTATAGTACTATAATTGTAGTTCACCCACCAAACAACTACAGGTTCTGTTGGTTCATCTGAATCTCGCTCGAGTCATTCCGGATGTAGGGTAAACGTCCCGATGCAGCTAATCGCCAAAAGCTCCGGCCGAGCCGCGGTGCGGCATGCTGCGCGACAGCTTCACCGCTAAACGCGGCAACGCTTTCCCACCACTCACTCTCCTCTCTCTTCAAACCAACACCACGCATGCTCTTTGTTCAAAGTTCATACTCTACAACAGCATCTTTTTAGCGGCTGCGTGACCCACTTCCCTAATTTCCGTGTGGACTCCTAAGCTCTCATGCGAACCTTGATTACCACTGACACAGACGAGCGGCATATGGGTTGATTTCGAAGCCCCAGCTTCGCTGTGAAATCGCAGACTGTCGATTACAGTCTGCCATTGAGGCTTCGGGAGGTGTTAAACATTTACATAGACTGTTAAGTCACGTCTGCAGCGTTCCACGACTGAGCGTCAACCCCGTCCGTTGACGGTCAGCCGTCATGTCCCGCGCCACGGACTCCGATCCTCAAGCGTCGTCGTTACCGGCGTCAGTATCGCACTCGACGCAATGTGCGGAGGCTCATTCGACCGAATCCCCGTCTCCAGCGGCCTCACATGTGCCGTTCGATCAATGGTTCGGCAGTTTCGACGCTGACGTGTCCGCGTCGCTCCCGAAGGCGGGGATAGACATCGTGGAGATTGTACGCGATAGAGGCATCTCCAAGGCTGTGGATGTAAGTCGACACGCGAAACAGTGCTACACGTTCTGCATGGAAATGAAAGAAACGAATGGGCCGTTGGACAGTGAACAGCAACCAAAAAATGAAAAACAAATTGTGAAACGTGAACAGTGAAGGAGGAAGGAGTGGCCGTGGAGGAGCGAACGATAGCAATGTTCGGCTGAGAATGGACCAATGAGAATTGAAGACAGGAAGGACGAGCCATAAGCTTCTGAGAGAGTCACTCCGAACTGACTGACTGAGCGTTGACTGGGAGCTGACTGACTGAGCGTTGACTGGGAGCTGACTGACTGAGCGTTGACTGGGAGCTGAGTGACTGAGCGTTGACTGGGAGCTGACTGACTGAGCGTTGACTGGGAGCTGAGTGACTGAGCGTTGACTGGGAGCTGACTGACTGAGCGTTGACTGGGAGCTGACTGACTGAGCGTTGACTGGGAGCTGACTGACTGAGCGTTGACTGGGAGCTGAGTGACTGAGCGTTGACTGGGAGCTGACCGAGCGTTGACTGAACTGCCCCTGGGTCGTATCCTCATTTCACTCTCGTGCCTTCCCCATGTCCCATGCTTCTTACCCGTGCCACCATTTCCCCCATGCCCATACCCCATGCCATAAGCCCCAAGCCTCATGCCCCATGCCCATACCCCATGCCCCAAGCCCCATACCCCATACCCCATACCCCACACCCCATGCCCCATGCCATGCCTTGTGTGTCATCTCCCCTCATACCCCATGCCCCATACCCCGACCCCATGCCCCATTACCATACCCCATGCCCCATACCCATACCCCATGCCCCATACCCATATCCCATGCCCTGCCGCATACCCCATGCCCCATGCCCCATGCCCATGCCCCCAGGTGCCTTATTTCGACCTGCCCGAGAGGGTGATCAGGTCAGCTTCTGATTGGCTGGCGACGCAGGGCAGCAAAGACCTGGCAGCAGTGGCAGCTCTGCTCATCCACGTGGCACTGCATGATAGGCCGCCCAGCGACCACGTGACCATCTCGAAGGCAAGCTCTCTGCTCTGCACGTTCCCATGTGTTCGTTGCTACAGCATCAATGGAAGGAACGAAGGATAATGCTCGCATCGAGATGGATTGAATTCCTGCTCTGACCAGCTGGGGGGGTCGCGTGCCCGAATCTGAAAGGAGAAGACGAGCGCGAACCCATTGAGTCACTGCCACGTGTCAGCTCTCACCTCACGGAACCCACCCTTGTGCTCCCCGGCCTTGCCCATCCACCATCCACACCCGTTCATCTCAACCACCTGTCTGCCCCCCTGCCTTCTCTTGATCTGCCGCGTCAACCCCCATCGTAACCTTTCATGTCGTCCCAGACTCCCAGCCTGTTCACACCACCCACGCACCCCCCTGTCAAGACGCTCCAACCCCCGCTCCAACCCTTGTATACCACCCAACCCTTTCACACCACCCCCAACACCTCTCTGGCAGGACGCGGCTCTCGCACTGCTCGCCATTCTCCTGCGCCTGCGACCCGCCACTCTCCAGCAAGTGCCCGACGCGCTGCTGCCGCCCATAAAAGACAAACAAAGGCCGTCCAGTGCCCAGCAGCCGCCCACCAAGGATGGTGCTTCAGCAGGCACCCACGTGGCAGAGGGGGATAGGCTGGCGATCCTTGCATGGATATACGGGCAGGTGGGATAATGACAGGCTATGGGCTTTGAGCCCAGCTTGCTTGCCTCACCCTTCTTTTCCCTCTACTCCTTGGCTCCCTCGTGCTCCCTCGTGCTCCCTCGTGCTCCCTCCCTCGTGCTCCCTCGCACATGGCCTGTTTGCATCACGTCCTTCTCTCCACTTTTCCACCCGATTAGTGTTTGCATCACTAGCTCTATCTCAACCGCTCCGTTCCGTACCCTGTCTCTCGTGTCTCTCCTTTCTCTCCTGTCTCTCCTGCCCCTCCTCTCCCTCATGTCTCGCCCCCCATGCAGGCAGCACGGGCGGACAGGGTGGCGGGCATGTCGCTCTTTATCCACTGCCTGCTGCCGCCTGCCATCCACCCCACCGCCTCCCCCGCCAGCACGCACCTCGCCCTCACCTTCCTCGAGGAGTGAGTTCCCTGCCTTGCCTTCACCACTCCCTGACTTTTGAGTCGACTCAAAAGTCGCCTCCCCCGCCAGCACGCACCTCGCCCTCACCTTCCTCCACGAGTGAGTTCCCTGCCTTGCCTTCCTCCAGGAGTGAAATTCCTGCCTTGCCTTCACCACTCCCGGTTGCCACCTTCCAGTTCCTCCAGCAGTGAGATTGTTCGAGTTTACATGCTCGCACCCCCTTCCCGTGCCTTTTATCCTCCATGCCTACCCTCCTCCTATGCGCACTTCCCCTACCCTCGTCCAATGCACCCCTCATGCGGTCGTGAGGGGTGGATTGCACCTCATGGCTCACAAGGCCCTCCAGTCCTCCTCGTCTCCAGTCATCGCACCTCGCCCTGGTTTGTTGTTGAGACGTCTCGTCAACAGACCGCTCCCTCCTGTGATCCTATTGACCTGTGCACCGCAGGGTGGTGTTGGAGAATCGCAGGAAGGCATACGCGGAGCTGCACAGGGGTGCAGTGAGGTGCAGGTTGTGTCTCATGGTGCCAAAGCCCATCTGGTCCTCCTCGTGCCTCAACAATCGACTGCTCCCTCCCTTGACCTGTGCGTGCACCGCAGGGTGGTGTTGGAGAATCGCAGGAAGGCATACGCGGAGCTGCACAGGGGTGCAGTGAGGGGCGGGCTGCGCCTCGTGCCGCCTGAGGCGCTGTGCTCGTTCCTGCTCGCCGCCTTCCCCGCCAAGGGCGACTGCACTGAGGTGTGCTGGGGCTGGGTAGTTTGGTGGGTGGTGGGTGCATGCACACACGCAGACAGGCTGTGAGGGGCGGGCTGCGCCTCGTGCTCCCTGAAGCGCTGCGGTCGTTCCTCTCCTCCTAGCCGCCTACCATCCATGCCAAGGGCGACTGCACCGAGGTGTGTGTGTTGGGGGTGGGTGGTGGGTGCACGCACACACAGAGATATGCTGGGATTGGGCAGGCTGCGCGTTTTGCCGCCTGAGGCCCTCCGGTGGTTCCTTCTGGCTGCCCTCCCTGCAAAGGACGACTGCACTGAGGTGTGCTGTGGGTGGTGGATGGGTGGTTGCACGTGCACACACACGCGTGCCCAACACACATGCAGTGGGTGGTGGATGGGTGGTTGCACGTGCACACACACACACGTGCCCAACACACATGCACATGCGGACGCAAGAATGCGCACACGCATGCACGCATACTCAACACAACCACAGGAACACTTATATGCATGAGCTCGCATGCACCAGCTACTGCCCACATGCGCAGGAATGTGCATCACCAGTCAATTCTCTACATATTACCAGCAGGGCTGCAAACGTCACTCCATGTGAAACCACTCATTAAAGCAACATCCACAACCCCACGCCCTGACCTAGACCTATATACCACCATCTCCCTTCCCGTCCCCTTACTGCCACAGTGTCTCAACCCTTTCTACCCCCCTCCCTTCTGCCCCGGCTCTCTCCATCCACTTCACCCCACGCGTCGCCCACGCGTACCTGATAGTGAAGCAGCTATCGCATCTAAAGCCGTTCTCTCTGGGGAATCCTCCCAGACCCACTCACAGATATCCCGACCCCTACTCCATCCCTCTCTTCCCCTCCTCCCCTTCCCCCTCCAGTTCACCCCATGCTTCGCCCACGCGTACCTGATAGTGAAGCAGCTTCTGCTCGTGAAAGCCGTTCCTTCTGGAAACTCCTCCGAGGGTCTCTCATGGGTTAGCCCTTCCCTTACTGTCTCTCTTCCATGCCCCCACCCGCTCCAGTTCACTCCGCGTTTCGCACACGCGTACCTGATAGTGAAGCAGCTGGCGCTGGTGAAGGGCACCATCACGGGGGACGCTGGCGACTCTGACGCCGCCTCACAGGCCGCCCTTTCCCGGGCCAAGTCCAGCCAGGAAGCTGCGGAGAAGCTGCTTCCTCTCATGTTTGACGCTGCACGAGAGGGTGAGGGGGTGGGGGAAGGGGCGAAAAGGGGAAACGAAAGGGGGGAGGAAAGGGACAGAAAATTCCCTTGTTGGACTGGGATGGGGGTCAGAGTGAGAAGGTTGGGACTGGAAGGCTGAAATGGGGAGGCATCTCGATTGGGTGGGAGGTTCCAGAAGAACGAGGTCTCAAGGTTGGAGCGTGAAACCTAGTGTTTCCTCCCTTGCCACCACGTTTAGCACGTGCACGTGTGTCCATCCTACTCTGATCTCTCCGCTCCATGCATGTCTTGTGCATGTGCATGTTTTGTGCATGTCCCTTCCCACGGGCTCACCTCTCCTCCTCCATCGCCCGGCGAGCAAGCAGGCTCAGTACAGGCTCAGAACGAATCTTGAGGCGCAGTAGACACGGTTGCCTGCTTGTCCTCACGTGTGGGCTCAACCCCCAGGCCCGTGCATGCATGCATGCAGGGTCGGAGGAGGCAAGGGAGGAGGCGGGTGCCATCGTGGTGTGGTGCCTCATTGAGAACCCTGCCTGCTACTCCCAATGGGTGCGTGCCCTGCCATGCCATGCCGTGCCATGTCTTGCTGTGCCATGCTGTGCCATGTCATGCCATGCCATACCGTGCCATGCCATGCCGTGTTTTGGATGGTTATTGTCGCTGGACTGTGCATGCCTGCGCCCCATTGGGTACACCTATCGAATTCACCTTTTCCTTCCGCTTTCCCGACCATGTGCTGATCGGCTCATCGTCTCCCACCGCACACCCATCACCGCACACCCATCACTGCCCGCCCATCACTGCCCGCCCATCACTGCCCGCCCATCACTGCCCGCCCATCACTGCCCGCCCATCACTGCCCGCCCATCACTGCCCGCCCATCACTGCCCGCCCATCACTGCCCGCCCATCACTGCCCGCCCATCACTGCCCGCCCATCACTGCCCGCCCATCACCACCCATCCCAACGCACCATCCACCCATTCAACACACCAGGAGCGCCTGCACAGCGGGGCGGTGGACACGTCGCGGCACATGCTGGGCGGCGTGGAGCGGCGGTGGGAGGAGGTGAAGCTGCAGCTCGCCCCCTACGCGCCCCTCAGAGCCTTCCTGCACGCCATCCGCCGCCAGGTGCTGCTCCCCGTCCCCTCACGCTCCCTTCTCTTCCTCTCGCTACCTCCTTTCTCCCCTCGCTTCCTCTCTGCCCTAATCCTACCACCAGCTGCTGTTGGTCCACAGTGCCTTTCCTCTCCCGCCCTTCCATCCAGCGCCTCACTCTCCGCTATTTGTAGAACCATCCTTTCACCCACTGCCCCACTCCTCCCACCATGCTTTCCAACGACCGCCATACTTGCCAACGATTGCATGCCAGCCCTCAATGTCGACCCCCTCTCCCCACTCCCACTCCCGCTCCCTCTCCCACTCCCTCTCCCACTCCCACTCCCACTCCCACTCCCACTCCCACTCCCTCTCCCACTCCCTCTCCCACTCCCACTCCCACTCCCACTCCCACTTCATCCCCATTCCCTTTCAATCAGCACACGCAAGCTCTAAGAGCTCTCGACCAATCACAGGTGGAGGAACGGGCCACCATCCGCCAGACAGACGCGGTGGCAAGGAAGCTTCAGAGAAAGATCTCTCGGGTGCCTGGGTGTTTAGCCACAGTGGCCACTTTAATAGCCTCTGCTGCCATGGTGTACACTTTCTATTGGCTCAGCCCGGGGAAGAACCCTTGGGGATGGGATGGCTATATCCTTCTCAGCAAGACGCACAGATGGTACTGATGCACTTGGCATTCATCTACTTGTAGGGCTTGCTAATTTCTAAATCCTGTTTATGTTGGTTGTAATGATCATTGTTTTTTTTTTCTTATGCACACGTAACACTGAAGCGTATCCGTACATCAACAGTCGTAACTGCAGCCGATGGGCCGGTACACCATCCATACCCACCCTATCCTACTAAGGGGGACGAAAAGCTGTCCTCGGGTGGACGAAATGGAGGCGAACCCCCCGCGACCACGTGGTCGGCTTCGCAGAGGTGTCCTGGGTTCTGCTTAAAACACGGTGCTCATCCTTTTCCAAACCTCCTAGGGTGGACCCCGGCTTCTGCTTCCGGCTCTTGACACGTGTGTACACCCTGACATGCAGCTGAAAAGCCGCACCAATTTTCAACAGCACACTCATCGCCCCAAACTTGCTGCGCTTGCAAGCCGCGGCACACCTCTCCACCCAAATCTTGTGGAAGACGATGGATGAGATGGTATCTCCGGGAAATGCCTAGCCTGTACCTTCCCGCAGGGAAATTAGGTCCCGACGTGACTCGATCCTCCTACCGGGGTTGAGCATGCGCAACAGCCTTCAGGAGAAACAGAACCACCGGCTGAACGCGAAGGCATTGGAACAGACTGTGCTCCGATGTCTCACTGCCCCCAGGGCTGACGTTTCAAATATAGCTACCCTGATTTCAAACCACCCCAAAAAAGTTTAATCTGAAGGCACATTGGCCGCAAAACGTGAAGTCTGTGTTAGAATAAGCAGACGGAAAATGATGGACTAGGTAGCATGCATGAGTACAAGTACCTAACCCTAAAGTGTTGTACCCCTTGTAGGCTAACATACTATAGCCTAGAGATAACACAAACATACACTTTGCCACACCCCCATAGGCTAAGTGGGAGATAGCAAACACAACAGACGGTCACAAGACCAGTCAAGCAAGAGAACAAGCAAAGCAAAGCAAAGCTCAGGGTGGATCTCAAGGACACCACACAATCTGAGCACAAGCAAGCGGTCACAAGGCCAGTTCACATGCAGAGTTATAATAGCAAGGCAGAACACTGATCACAACCTAGCAAGAGTAAACAAGCAGGTATAAAGATATATATCAGTGTACAACAAGAGCTAGTCAAGCAACCAGCAGGTGAGGCAGAGTGGGCACAAGCCCAAGAGCAGTGCAAAAACGCTGATGATCACCAGACCCAAGGGCCTTGGTGAAAACATCAGCAGTGTTGGCCCGAGAGGCCACGTAAGCAAGGCGCAGCTGACCACGCTGCTGCAAATCACGCGCAAGGAAGTAGCGAAGAGCAATGTGCTTCGTTTTGTGCTCCAGTCTCTGCTCGCGACACAAGGCAAGCATTGCCTTGTTATCGACGTACAGAACTGGAGGAGAACGAGGCCGCTCCCCCAAGTCGGTCAGCAGGTAGGTCAGCCAGCGTAGCTCCTGTGCAGCCATGGCCCCAGCGTAGATCTCGGCCTCACAGCTGGAACCAAGCACAGAAGAAGAACGAGTGGACCTCCACGAGACAGAACCAGAGCCAAGACTAAAGGTGTAACCCTGTGACGAACGCTGATTCGCCTGGTCGTCGGCCCAAGAAGCGTCAGAGTGTCCTGTGAGGACCACCGAACCCCGTCCTCCAAGCACGAGCCCCATGCCCAATGTACTGCACAAGTAACGCAGTACCCTCTTCGCAGCACCAAAGTGCACCTTTCGGTGTCTACCGGGTGCCACGTAGCGAGCCAGAAGGCTGAGAGGGTACGCGAGGTCAGGTCGTGTGCACGTCATCAGGTACATGAGGCAACCCACAAGCTCTAGGTACGGACCACTCGGCTCTACGGACTCGTCCGAAGGTGGAGCTGAGAGCGAGTGGCCGGTAGCCAGAGGAGTGGGCTGTGGCGAGGAGTACGTGAAGCGGAAGCGCTGAAGGACCTGGTGCACCATGTGTGACTGAGTCAGGGTGATGGTGCGCCGTGCCCTGTCCCGGGTTATCTGCAAGCCAAGATAGGTCCGCAGCTCACCCATGTCAGTGCAGGTGTGTCTCTCCTGCAGCTCCGCCTTCACTAGGGCCAGTGCCTCAGTGTCAGCAGTAGCAAAAACCAAGTCGTCGACGTACACGAGGATGTAGAACGGCGGCAGACTAGTGTCGGTGCGTAGAAACAGCGACGGGTCAGCAGTCGAAGGAGAAAATCCAAGAGCCGCAAGTGTCGTCCTCAGTGTGTCGTGCCACTCGCGGGGCGCCTGACGCAGGCCGTACACTGGTCGCCGTAGGCTCCACTGGGTACCCTCAGGAAACGACCCAGTGAAGCCCTGTGGACGGCGCAACCAGATGGCCTCGTGAAGGCTACCCTGCAAGAAAGCTGTCGAGAAGTCGAGGGAGTGCAGCTCGTAGTCACGCTGAGCTGCAACGTGTAGCAACACCCGAAGAGTGGTCATCTTTGGGGTGGGGGAGAAGGTCTGAAAGAAGTCGACCCCCTCACGCTGACTGAAGCCTCGAGCAACGTAACGTGCCTTGAAGGCAGGCGGAGAACCCGGCGGCCGCTTCACCCTGAAAATCCACATGCCACTGACGATGTTCGCCCCAGGTGGGGGAACCTCGTCGACGTAGGTGCCTGTGGACTTCCAGGAAGCCATCTCTGTGTCCATGGCTGTCTGCCACTGAGAGGAGTACTCACCCGAAATTGCCTCCCTGTAGGAGCGCGGGGTGGGGATGTCAAGTGCATCCGGGTCTCCCTCAGGGGCAAGCACCATGGTCGCGTGATGGGGTGAAGCGGCCGCAAGGCACTCCACCTCCTCCTGTCTGTCCTCAAGAATGTCACAGCCAAGGGCAATACAGCCAAGGGCAGTCTCACCCCCGACGGACGGAGGACAGGCAGGGTCAGGGTCAGAGACAAGACTCGCAAGGTAGTCTAGGTGGTACACAGCTGCAAAGTCAACGAGCTTAGCGACTAAGGCATACGCAGCAGGAGACGAGAACGTAGGGTCTGTCACAACCGTAGCAAGGAAGCGAGTAACAGTCGGACTGGACGCACGAGCAATGTCAGACGGAGGGTCAGCAACGTCAGGAAGAGAGGACGCAGGAGGTAACGGTAGGACAACACGCTGTGGAACAGAGGAAGGACGGGGTGTCACATCGTGAGTGCCGGGGACAGCCGGAGCACGCAGACGACGAACACGAGGAACACGAGCACGGACAGCAGCTCTAGGCTCAGGCTCAAGGTCAAAGCTAGACTCAGGCTCTCGACGCTCAGGGGTGGAAGCACGAGTCTCAGGCTCTCGACGCTCAGTCAGGGACTGTGTCACCGCAGTGTAAGGAGCAGGAGCAGGCAGTGGGGAGTGCGGTAGCAGCGGCGGCTGTGACTGGTCCGCCGGTGGAAACAGCAACTGAGGAGTAGTACCTGCCACAGGGAAGTCAGTAGCACCGGTCGGAAGACTGAGAAGGTGGTAAAGAGCACCAGCAGCTCCCGTACCTCCAGCACGAGCAGCTCCTCCAGTACCCCCAGCAACACCTCCAGCACCAGTAGCACCAGCACCTCCAGCACCATGAGCTCCGACAGCGCCAGCACCTCGAGCACCAGTAGTACCTCCAGCACCTCCAGTGCCTCCAGCTCCAGCTCCAGCGCCTCCAGCACCAGTAGTACCTCCAGTACCTCCCGTGCCAGCAGCTCCAGTAGCACCTCCAGTACCTCCAGCACCAGCAGCACCACCTGCTCCGGCAGCTCCAGCACCTCCAGTACGAGCACCTCCGGGACCAGTAGCTCCAGCACCTCCAGTACCTCCAGCTCCAACGCCTCCAGCACCAGCAGCACCAGCACCTCCAGGGTCAGCAGCTCCCGCAGCTCCAGCACCAGTAGCACCAGCACCTCCAGTGCCAGCAGCTCCAGCACCCCCAGCACCTCCAGTAACAGTAGTACCAGCACCAGCAGCTCCAGTACCTCCAGCACCGGCAGTACCTCCAGTACTAGCAGCTCCAGTACCTCCAGTACCAGCAGCAGCTCCAGTACCCCCAGCACCAGCAGCACCTCCAGCACCTCCAGGCCTACCAGCTCCAGTACCTCCAGCACTCGTAGCACCTCTAGTACCTCCAGTAGTGCCTCCAGCACCTCCAGCACCAGCAACACCTCCTGGACTAGTAGCTCCAGCATCAGCAGGACCGTGCCCTTCACCACCAGGACTGCCTCGCCGAACGACCCACGAACGAATCGCCTGCGGCGAGAGCGTCTCAAGTAGAGCAGGCTGCGGTGGCTGTCCAGCTCCAGTACCTCCAGTAGTGGTAGCTCTAGCACCTCCAGCACCAGCAGCAGCTCCAGTACCTCCAGCACCAATAGTACCTCGAGTACCTCCAGTAGTAGCTCCAGTACCTCCAGCTCTAGGACCTCCAGAAGGACTCGCAGCACCCCCAGAGTCAGCACCCGAAGTCTCAGCACCCCCAGAGTCAGCACCCAAAGTCTCAGTACCCTCAGTCCCAGCACCCGCAGGCTCAGTCCCCTCAGTCCCAGTACCCGCAGGCTCAGTAATCTCAGAGTCCACTGCAGAAGGCTGCAGAGGCGGGAACCCGGGGGGTGTAGCCAAACGTGGAGAGCGGACACCCCCAGACGTACCACCCCCAGGCCTAGGTCCAGCAGCCTCAGCTCCAGAGTCCACAGCAGCAGGCTGCGGAGGTGGCGAAGACGGCCGAGGCGGCAAACCCGGGGGGGTCTCCAAGCGAGGAGTGCGGCGAGTGGTCGCCGTGTCGTCGGCGGCGGTGTCACCCCCCTCAGCTGGGTCAGAGGAGTCAGAAGAGATCTCCACTGGCTCATCCAAGGGAGCAAGACCCTGTGGGGGAAGGGGGTCTACTGGGGGGGGGACTGGTACCAGGAAGAGAGGCGCGAGGGGGACCGGGTGGGACGCGTGTGGGTGAAGTCGGTAGTAACAGACCGACTCGTCGAAGGTGACGTCCTGAGAGGACAGAACACGACGCGAGGCAGGGTGGTAGAACTGCCAGGGCGGGGCGTCGGTGGGGAAGCCCAGGAAGACACAGCGGAGAGTGCGAGGAGAGAGCTTGCTCGCTTTGGTATCGCGAACAAGGGAGAGCGCGCCCCAGACCCGAAACGACGACGCATCACCAGGCTGTCCCGTCCAACGGAGTGTGGGCGAGGTCTCTGGAGCAGAGACACGGGGCCAGAGGTTGAGCTGATGCGCGGCGTATCGGACCGCAAACCTCCATGATCAGGCCAATGCGACGCTCAGCGATTCCATTTTGCTGCGGAGAGGCCGGAAGCGTGAACGACTGGGCGATGCCCTCGTCCTAACAGAACGTCTCAAGGACGCCAGAGGGGAACTCACCACCCCTGTCAGAGTGCAGACGCAGGACTGGGAAGTCCTGCTGAAAACGCTCGTGCAGCTGGAGACGAGTAGCACGGATCCAGGGGACCAAGACATTGCTGACGTCCGCCTTGCGCCGCAAGGGGAAGACGGTGGTGTAGCGTGTGTAGTCGTCAACAACCAGCAGGAAGTAGCGCTCCTGGTTCGTTCCACCGACTAGGGCCGGGCCCCACACGTCCAGGTGGAGAGTCTGCAGAGGAGCAGTGGTCGGAGGAAACTCGGAGGAGTGAGGAGCGGCGCGCTGCCGCCCCTCGACGCAAGGAAGGCACGGCGGGGCAGGCGAGCGCGGCAGGGGGGGCAGGGTCCTGGGGAGGCCAGAGACAAGGAGACGGGAGTGCATACTGCGTAGACGCGGCAGGGAGGGGTGACCAAGACGGTGGTGCCAGCGCTGAGTCTCGTGCGTGAGTACTCTGCACGAGCAAGACGCAGCTAACTGTCCCGACGCAGACGCCCGACTCGACGCAGCCACCTGACCTGACTCAGCCACCTGTGCAGACGCAGTGGTCAGTGTGTACAGACTAGACCCAGGCTGTCGAGTGAACGTAGCCAGGTGACGGCCAGTCCGGGAGCACGTACAGATCGCCACACGCTGCCCTTTAGGAATAAAGGTATATCCCAGACATCCTGAATGGCAGCGTTGCTCACCAAGTTCGTCGAGAACATGGGGAGGTGGAGACCTGACAGAGAACCGGAGGGGACTGCTGGACAAGGGAGGACCGTGGAGGCTCTCGCAACTACTGGGCCCCCAGAGGGGTCAGCCAGTGAGACTGGGACAGGTGCTGTGAGTGGTGTGACTGTGGTGCAATCACGAAAGAAGCAACGTGACGCGCCTGAGTCAAGTGTGAAAGTGTGCAAGACCTCAGCGGAGGCAGGACCTGTGGCAGTAGACGCACTAGTACCTAGAGCGTCGGCAGACTCACGGGCACCTAGAGCTGCAGCAGACTCACTAGCACCTGGAGCGGCAGCAGACTCACTAGCACCTGGAGTGGCAGCAGACTCACTAGCACCAAGAGCAGCAGCCTTAACACAACGATAACCTCCACCACCAGGCCTGCCTCGCTGAACAACCCACTCACGAAGCTGCTGAGGGGTGGGGTCGTCCGGGAGAGGCAGTGCCCGCTGCTGTCCACCCCTGGCCGCAGCAACTGCCACGATAGTGGCCATGACAGACAGCGACGGTCAGGAGTAGGTCCAGCACCTCCAGCTCCTCCAGCAACAGCAGCACCTCCAGCACTCCCAGCAGCACCTCCACCACCAGCAGCAGTAGCACGAGTAGCAGCAGCAGTAGTAGTAGCAGCAGCAGGGCGGCTCGGTGGGGCTGGGCGGCCGCACCTCCAGCACTCCCAGCAGCACCTCCACCAGGAGCAGCAGTATCACGAGTAGCAGCAGCAGCAATAGTATTATATATATATACATATAGGGTTTAGGGTTGCGCGCGGCCCACGGGCTGCAGGGGCGACGCCCACGGGCTGCAGGGGCGACGCGCAGCTCGGCAGGGCGGCGCGCGGGCTGTAGGGGCGGCGCGCGGCTCGGCAGGGCGGCGCCCAGGCTGCAGGGGCGACGCTCGGCTCGGCAGGGCGGCGCACGGGATGCAGGGGCAGCGCCCACGGGCTGCAGGGGCGACGTGCGGCTCTGCACGGCGGCGGACGGGCTGCAGGGGCGACGCGCGGCTCTGCAGGGCGGCGTACGGGCTGCAGGGGCAGCGCCCACGGGCTGCAGGGGCAACGCGCGGCTCGGCAGGGCGGCGCGCGGGCTGCACGGGCAGCGCCCACGGGCTGCAGGGGCGACGCGCGGCTCTGCAGGGCGGCGTACGGGCTGCAGGGGCGACGCGCGGCTCTGGAGGGCGGCGTACGGGCTGCAGGGGCAGCGCCCACGGGCTGCAGGGGCAACGCGCGGCTCGGCAGGGCGGCGCGCGGGCTTCAGGGGCAGCGCCCACGGGCTGCAGGGGCGAACTCGCGGGCTGCAGGGGCAGCACGCGGGCCACAGGGGCAGGCACGGCTGTAGGGGCAGGCACGGCTGCAGGGGCAGCACGGTCGCAGGGGCAGGCACGGCTGCAGGGGCAGCACGGTCGCAGGGGCGAGTACGGCTGCAGGGGCAGCACGGTCGCAGGGGCGAGCACGGCTGCAGGGGTAGCACGGTCGCAGGGGCGAGCACGGCTGCAGGGGCAGCGCGGTCGCAGGGGCAGCACGCGGGTTGCTAGGGCAGCGCGGCTGCAGGGGCAGCGTAGGAAGAAAAAATTTACGGTTAGGGCAAGGCGGAACGTTCGGTGGGCCCTAGGAACGAGTCTGCTCTAATACCATGTTAGAATAAGCAGACAGGAAAATGATGGACTAGGTAGCATGCATGAGTACAAGTACCTAACCCTAAAGTGTTGTACCCCTTGTAGGCTAACACACTATAGCCTAGAGATAACACAAACATACAGTTTGACAGTCTGAGCCTTCTTGCGGTGCTCAGTGTTCACAAAAATGAAGTCTGAGCTGTCAGAGTTAGCGAATTGAAATCAGGGTTGCATTATTGTGTGTGTGTGTGTGTGTGTGTGTGCGTGTGTGTGTGTGTTGTTCTTGTTTCCAGTTTGGCGAGAAAAACAGTGACGTGGCTCGGAGCACAGAGAGGGGCGTGGAAGCTGTGGGGGGGTCGGTTGGGTTGGACTGAGGTGAAGACTGACTGAGTGCATGTGGCGAGAGAGGGGAATCGGCTAGAGGTGCAAGTGGCGAGAGGGAGACTTAGGTTCGGTGGTCTGTCCGTGGGGGAGGGACTAGGTGAAAGGGGGTTGTGTTTGCGTCGTGTGAGGCGCGAGGGACTGAGGTGCAGGAGGAGGAAAGGGGAGGGGCGGAGCATGAGAGGGGGGTTAGTGTTAAATTATATTGCATATCTTATTATAACAGCCTACAACTTGCTAGTGTATTAGTTAGATATTAGGTTCAACTGCTGGTGGTGTACCCTTTTCTCCTTTCCCTTTCCTGTATATCGTGTATCCTTCTTTCTAGTGCAACCCTCTTCTTTGGCCAAACATCTCCTCTCCCGTAACTCTCGCTATGCCTAGGGTTCGTACCCTTCCTAGCCTATGATACTATCTCAGCAGTTAGGGCATGTGTGAGTGGGGAAGAGTTCGGGTGCGGGCTGCAAAAGCCAATCCGACTGGAGGGGGGCACGTCGCACGTCGGATTTCTCCCAGGTACACCCTTACGGGGGTGTACTCGTTGCAAGTTTCCTGGAAGTTTCGTCCCGACAAACTCTCGCATTCCAGGGACCACAGAAACCATACTCTGTTAAAGCAAGGGTGCACTTTGGGGGGGGTGGAGGCAAAGGTTTATCACTTGCCTCCACGTGGTTACCCGGTTTGTGGCTGGGGGTGAGACACGAACAAATATTCAGTGTTGGCGGAGTTGCGCGGGGTACTCTCGCTCCCATCAGTAGCGACGGGGGACATGGGAGTTGGGAACTTGGGTCTGGTGCCAGTCAGTTTGTGAACCAAAACACCAGCAACTCACGTTCCACGACACACATACTCCAAACAACATAGTAGTTAGCAACCATAGCGACCATCGCTGAACCACTAACATCCATAGCAAACGTCGCATAATTTTCAATATCCATTTCTACCATCGATGATTTGCAAATATTCATAGCGACCGTGGGGACGGGGCTAATATCCATCCGCTGACGATGGCGGGAGGCGAGATGGCTAAGGACGAACAGCGAGCGGCGCTAGCACATATGTGCAGCCATCGGCGAGCGGCAAACGTCGTATGGCGATTTTCAAACGTTGAGCGTCGTTTATGGAGCGGCTGACGGCGAGCAGCGAATAGCACGATAGACATCGTGCTCGTGAGGAGAGGTTTAGGGGCGGAGAGGACAGCAAGTCGTTGTGACGCCGTGCTTGGCGCTGTTGATGAGGAGCACCAACGCTGACGACTACATGCGTGCGCCGTCGCGGATACTGGCGACTCACGCACGCGACGATGTGCGTATGATGGCGGCCAACCATGCGACGGTGTGCGGAATGGCGACCAGCCGCATGCGACGGTGTGCGGAATGGCGACCAGCCGCATGCGACGGTGTGCGGAATGGCGACCACCCGAGTGCGACGGTGTGCGGGGTGGTGACTTGCCGCGCGCCACGGTGTGCGGAACGGCTCACTCCTATCATCCCCTCTCTGTCCTATCATCCCTCTCTCTCTTAGATCCCCTCCCTGTGTACTCTCCCTATCCCCTCACACCGCCCTGTCCATTCCCATCACTCCGCCCTGTCCTTTCCCCTCACCCCGCCCTGTGATTTCCCCCCCTTCTCCCTCTCACTTCTCCCCCTTCTCCCTCTCATTTCCCCCCCATTCTCCCTCTCATTCCGCCCCCATTCTCCCCCTCATTTTCCCCGATTATCCCTCTCAATTTCCCCCATTCTCCCTCTCATTATCTCCCATTCTCCCTCTCATTATCTCCCATTCTCCCTCTCATTATCTTCCATTCTCCCTCTCATTATCTCCCACTCTCCCTCTCATTTTCCCCAATTCTCCCTCTCAGTTTCCCCCCTTGTCTCTTCTCAGTTCCCCCCCTTGCCTCTTCTCAGTTTCCCCCCTTGCCTCTTCTCAGTTTCCCCCCTTGCCTCTTCTCAGTTTCCCCCCTTGCCTCTTCTCAGTTTCCCCCCTTGCCTCTTCTCAGTTTCCCCCCTTGTCTCTTCTCAGTTCCCCCCCTTGCCTCTTCTCAGTTTCCCCCCTTGCCTCTTCCCACTTTCCCCCCTTGCCTCTTCTCAGTTTCCCCCCTTGCCTCTTCCCACTTTCCCCCCTTGCCTCTTCTCAGTTTCCCCCCTTGCCTCTTCTCAGTTTCCGCCCTTACCTCTTCCCACTTTCCCCCCTTGCCTCTTCTCAGTTTCCCCCCTTGCCTCTTCTCAGTTTCCGCCCTTGCCTCTTCTCGGTTTCTTCCCTTGCCTCCCCTCAGTTTCCGCCCTTGCCTCACCTCACCCCACTTTGTGGCGCCTATTGAGCTCTGCCCCATTGAGCGAGGGAGTGTCAGCAGCAGGGTGCAGAATTCAGTGGTGCAAGGACAGCATGCTGCAGCACAAGCTAGTCTAGGGGCGTCTCGAAAACCCCAGCCTTCCCCCTCACTGCCCTCCCCGCCCTTCCCCCTCACTGCCCTCTCCGCCCTTTCCCCTCGTCTCCATGCCCGTTCCCCTCCATGTCCCCCTTCGCCATCCCCCACGAAGAAATGGGTTCGAACCGCAGCAAGCGGAGTGGTCTCCTCAAAGTTCTTAACTAACAGCTAGGAGTACTTCGGGACTTGGTAAGTCCAACTTCAGTAAAGAACGTAGGCGTACGTGTTTCGGCCGTGAGGCCTTCGTCAGCGTCGTAGGATTACAGAAGAAGAAGACTACTCTAACCCTTTTCTACTCATTCCCGTTTTTCTCCTACCCCCCTCAAATTCCCTAGGTCTAACAAACATCAAGGTGTAATCTGCCCAGAATTCTAAGCAGCTGGTAACTTCCAGCATGAAATCAAACGAGGAATTTGTATATTTGCTATTTGGGAGTCACTTTTGAGAATTCTCAAAAGCGCCAGCCCCCACGTGTGCAAAGACCCGCAGACCTTGTTTTGAATCAACTCATAACATTTCTCTTTTGATAGAGGGGAGGAAGGGATGATAGAGGGGAGGAAGGGATGATAGAATGGAGGAAGGGATGATAGAGGGGAGGAAGGGATGATAGAGGGGAGGAAGGGATGATAGAGGGGAGGAAGGGATGATAGAGGGGAGGAAGGGATGATAGAGGGGAGGAAGGGATGATAGAGGGGAGGAAGGGATGATAGAGGGGAGGAAGGGATGATAGAGGGGAGGAAGGGATGATAGAGGGGAGGAAGGGATGATAGAGGGGAGGAAGGGATGATAGAGGGGAGGAAGGGATGATAGAGGGGAGGAAGGGATGATAGAGGGGAGGAAGGGATGATAGAAGACGAATGCACGAGGTACAGGGTCGAGGGAAGCAGGAGGGAGGGACGGAGGGACCGAGGAGAGAGGGGTATAGAAAGCAATCACGGAGCATTCATGCACATAGATGCAGGCACACAAACATGCACACGGATGCACATCTACACAACTCAATGGCGGTGAGCACAGTGACTGCACCATGTACTCGGAGGTGCACACATAGTGTGGGCGGGGGAACAGGAAGGGAGCAAGGGGACTGTGAAGACAAGCAGGTGGGGAAAGGATGGGAAGAAGGGGGGGAAATGAGGGGAAGAAGGGGCGGAAAAACGAGAAAGAAGGGGCGGGGGGGGGGGGAAGAGGGTAATCAAGGGGGGGAAACGAGGGGAAGAAGGGTGAAAAACGTAGGTGTCCAGGGGGGGCAAAGATGGGAAGCAGGTGATAAAAAAAAGGGAGGTAAAGTCCCGGCATGGGAACAGCTAAACAGAGGGAAGGGAGGGTACGGAGGGAGCTGACGGAGCACGTGTAGCGGGGTGAGGTGATTGGACACGGGGGGAGGGAGGGGGCAGATCGAGGAAAATGAGTGCAACGGCGAGGCGGCGGTGGAAGCGAGGGCGATTCATGTGGCGATGCAGCAGGTGGCGAACTGGAGGCGGCACGTCTTTGAGGCGAGGCGGCGAGGAGGCGGTGTGCCGGTGATGAGGCGGCGACGCGGAGAGCTCGCGAGCGGCGCCCCACGACGCGATGTGGAAGCGACGTGGCGAGGCGGCGATGTGGCAGCGATGTGGAGATGGGAAGGCGAGGTTGCGATTTGGCGGCAGTGAGGAGACGAGGCGGCACTGGAGGTCGCACGGCCTGGGCGTGATGCAGAGCGGGGGCGCGCATTTGGCAGGGAGGCGAGAGGCTACGACGCACTAAACCCGGCGAGTGGGGGATCACGTCGTGCGAGATTGCGACACGGCGTTCCCGCAGCCACAACAGGAGAACGACGAGCCGCAAGCCGGTTCCCTGACGACGACGCGCTCTAGCCGTGCTGTCGCCGTTCGCATGTGACGACGCAACCCTAATACCGTAGGGGACCAGACACTATGTCGTGGACTAAGTCGTAGTGGCGCGACGCTTCTATTATTAGTTGTGAACTGGCGGTATCTCGGCTTGTTCAGATTGACGGGCACATGTTATCATGTCCGCTTGGGTTGTGTGCAAAAACCACTTGAGTTCCGCCAGGTCACATGCTCGTTCCCCCCAACCAACCCTCACAACGGATATGACTGGAGAGAGTTGCGCCCAAGTGATTGTCCGAAATGGGTTGGCTTCGCCAGTCTTGGTTGTGCAGCTCGCACCATCTTTACAAGCCTTGGACAATTCGCCAACGAATCAGCAGGCAACAAATGGTGTACCCTAACAATGCCCCCAAAAACCACCCCTACGAATGTGCACCCTTGCTGTAAGGCATGGTTCATAAACGGTTAAGTCTGTTACAGTATAAAATAAATCAGGGTTCAAAAAGTGAATACTCTAAAGCAATCAGGGTTCAGAAATTGGTCATTTTGAAAAAACAGGGATACATGCCCAACATGTCTGAAATCTCATACTAATCAGAGTGTTTACTCTGATAAAAACAGCCCTGGCTGCCCCCATAGTGCGGACGATTGCATCACCGAGGAAGAGCAGACGCTCCCCCACTTGCGGGTTTTGACTTTGTATGCGGAGCATTACGTCCATCGGCTGGTTCTGAAGAGCCACTGAGTCCCGAACTCCATTTACTCTGCGCCAGTCAATCGGGCGGATCCGTGCAGCTTCCCAAGCCGTCTATTGCGTTGTGTTCTCCCCACCTCGGAAGAAACCCCTGCGGAGCTGCTTAAACTGCTCCAGTTGGTGCCCAACCTCCTTGGGTGGACCCTAGCTTCCGCTTCCCACTCTTGACACGTGTGTACACCCTAATATGCAGTTGAAAAGTCTGCGAGAGGACACAAAAGTCCACTTTTTCCGCAACACCCTCCTCTCCACCCAAATCTTGTGGAGGGCGATGGATGTGATGGCAGCTTTGGGAAATCCCGAGCCTGTACCTTCCCGTTGGAAAATCAGGAAAGACCGAACCACCGGCTGGATGCGAGGGCGTTGGACCAGACAGTGCTCCAGCGTCTCACTGCCCCCACAGTGCGGGCAGACGATTGCATCACCAAAAAAGAGCAGACACTTTCCAAATTGCAGGTTTCCGCTGTGTACGCGGAGCAATTACGTACATCCCTCGGCCGATTCGGAAGAGATGTTGAGTCCCGAATTCCAATCACTCTGCGCCAGTCAATCGGGTGGTTCCGTGCAGCTTCCCATGCCGTTTCTTGCTTTGACTTTCCCCCACCTCGGAGGAAACCCCGCGGAGCTGCTTGAACTGCTCCAATTAGTCTCCAGCCCACAGTGATGAGCTTAGCAGCCTCGTCTCAGGATGCCCAGAGGGGCCCAAGAGCTGCCCCCCCCTGACCACATCAGGTACCACCTTGTGCGCCTGGAACGTGGCACGTTGCTTCTCAGCTGGCCCCAGGACTCTTCCGGCAAGGCCGATAGTCTGGCAGAATAGCCCACCCTCACCCGCGCTTTCCATCTTCATGGCGGGCTCTGGCCAAGAGCACGAAATGAGACTGCGCGAGAATCTCCTCCTCCAAGACCGGCGCGAGCGGAAACCGCTTCCATTGAAAACCCAGAGGGCCAGCCTGGCCCCCTTGCCGCACCACCGAGCTCGCGTGCTAGGACCCCCTTATCCTTAAGATGTTTTCTCCGGTTCGGTAACTGTAGCACAAGATCACCCAAAAGATGATGCTTTAACCACGCTGTTGCTCCTTGCCTGCCTGCATGTGCCTTCCCGTCTAACAGACGATGCTGGTTGAAAAGCCAACACTCCTCGACGTCCCATCGCGAGACCACGACCAGCTCCTCAGAAAACCGTGAGTCAAGGAAGAGCTCGTACGTCTGCTTCCACCTGACGCTCCTCCCTGACCACTTCTTCTGCAAGCTATCATGCGCCTAGATGGACTGAGCGCCCGGGAGCTCAGGTGCCGCCTCCGCCAGCTGCCTGCACCACCCTGAATTTGTGCAAATAGAAGCCCCACTCTTCTGGCAGCAAGGGCACCGAGCTCCGCAAACAGGTCCTACACCCCCTTGCCCCCCTCCTGGCGTGGTTTGAGCAACAACTCCTAGCTCCACAAGGAGAAATGCCGCCCGACAGACGCGAAATTTCCCGAGACAAAGTTGTGCATCAGCGTCGTGATTCTCTTTTAGATCGGAGCCAGGGAGGGGGGAGGGGGTACACCTACGCCTGGAAGGCAGGATATGGTTGATGTACCTGCTCACCACCGCCACCCACGCAGCCGTCGTCAAGTAATGTATCTTCCGCTTCAAGAACTCGGTGGCCACCCATGTCAAGGCTTTCTCTTATGTAACAGTTGCGCCACTTGAGGGGGAGACCCACACCCTCATGATCCTTTCTATTGTGTCCAGTTTGTCCCATGTGAAAGTTGACCCAGTGTCCGGTCTGCGCCGCAGTTTTCTGCCTAAGGGAAGCAGCGCCGACTTCTCCATACTCACACAAGTGCTCGCGCTCATCTACCGGCAGGGAGTTGCGAATAGCAAAGCGAGCGTGGGCGTCACGAGTCTGCCACTGTGAGCGGGCAGTACTGTCAGCAGTAGCAGCAGGGCAGCAGCGTGTCCTAGTGCGTGATCGTACAGCGAGATATCCTCCTTTGCAGTGAGCTGGAGGAACAGGTGCAGGTCATCTAGCCAGGTGTCAAACTTCAGCGGGCGGCCCTCAGCATCGAAAGCGAGCACAGCAGGGCTAGCCATAGTTGCAGTAAGAGCAGTAGCAGTAGTAGCAGCAGGAACAGCAGTAGAGTCAGTAGCAGTGACAGCAGCAGTGGCGCGGCTCGGTAGGGCGGCGCGGCTCGGTAGGGCAGCGCGGCTCGGGCCGGGTGACGCGGTTCGGTGGGGCGGCTCGGCTCGGTTAGGCGGCGGCTACTCGAGGTGGGGCACGCGAGGGCGTGCAGGGCAGAGCGGGGCCGGTCCGCACGGGGCACGAAGTGGCGAGCTAGCGAGGGCGGGTCCTGGTCGCACGGGGCACGCAAGGGCGGGCTAATGGGGCGGGGCCTGGTCGCACGAGGCACGTAAGGGCGGGCTAGCTGGGCGGGGCCGGTACGCGAGGGGCACGCAAGGGCGCGCGGGTGGGTGTGGGCCGATCGCACGGGGCACGCAAGGGCGCGCGCTAGGGGGCGGGGCCGGTCCGTAAGAGGCGCGCAAGGGCGCGCGGAGGCCGCACGGGGCACGCAAGGGCACGCGGGGCAGGCGAAGCGCGTGGTGCCGTTCGGGTCGCACGCTAGGGCGTACGAGGTGGGCGGGGCCGATCGCACGGGGCACGCTAGGGCGTGCGGTCTAAGCGGGGCCGATCGCGAGGGGCACGCTAGGGCGCGCGACTGTGAGGGAGAGAGGAGGGCGCTCGAGGGCGCGACTAGGCGAGGCGCGCTAGGGCGCGACTAAGCGGAACGGTGGGCCCAATCGTTCGGTCCTAGGTTACGACCTAGGCTCGCGATACCATGTTAGAAACTAAGGATGAACGAGAATGGATGAACTAACAGAAAGTTGGGTACAAGTAGGAAACCCTAAGTTTGTTGTACCCCCTATGGCTAAACCCACTATAGCCTACACAATATAAACATATAATGTTTGACAGTGCTTTGGGAGGGAGGTGTTTTGGGAGTTGAGTGATGATGAGATTTTGTGGTGGAGATGGTGGATTCCAGTACATGGGGGACCTGTTCAAAAATATTAAGGATAAGAACATGTCGTGTAGAGTGTCATTGGTGAGGATGGGTAACAATTTCTATCGGTCTTGAGTCATCTTTCTAGGGGCCAAGAAGTCCATCATGAACTATTTGCCAATATTTTTTTATGATGGTTGTCATGATACGACGAGACAGGGGGAATTCGCGTTGAACATTTGCATATTATACAGTCAACACAAGCTTGTTAGGCTGGGTTTTGTTGGATGCACGTCATTCTGAGTGCATGTCATCCTAACGTCCTGCCAAGTGCTCGTGCTATTCATGCGTGCATTATTTGCATGAGCATATGTCATTGTGCATGGCTGTTGGATATTATAACTCTGTGTTTTTTCTCCAAGTCTACATGGTTCATCATGCAGGAGAAATCCAGAGCTTTCCAATGATACCAAGATCGTCTTATTCCGACCAAGATCGCCCAAGTTACAAGATTTCCAAGACTTTGATTTCTTATTACCTTTTGGGGTTATATCTAATTTGGGCGACTATTGGGACATAACTATAAAGTGATCTTTGGTTGGGTGGTTAGGGAATGCAACTTTGACTTTTGGATTGGGGTGGCTAGAAGTTTCTAGCATGGGTTGCAAATGTTGCAACACCTAGGCAAAATCCAACTAGATTGGATTTTGCATGTGACACCTCAAGGACCTCATGATGAGGGTTGCATCCTTGCTGCTAGGAAGGTTCCTACCATCCTTCCCTAGCTCTTGGAGAACCCCTTCCCTCTCATGGTTCTCTTGGAGGTTCCCAACTCCAACTCTCTATGCCTTAATGCTTGTACTTCTTCCACCATTCTAGTCAATGCGGCTGCTGGACGTTTTTACTTGGTTCTCACTCTCTAGACCATCTTAACGACTGATTCAACTTGGAGATGGTAGCTAAGCCTAAGGCGCACAATCCTACTGAGCGAATTTGCGTTTAGTTGAGTAATGAGTTCGTCGTAAGCTCTCAAAGTGACGGATCCTTCACAACAAGTGGTATCAGAGCGGATAGTCGACTTTGAGACGACGAATCGTGGTGAATTCTCAACCAATGTTGACGAATGTGTTATAGTCACAA